CGGAGTGCGTCGCCAAGTACGTTTACCCCTCTGGATTCGATGTTCATTTCCAAGGATACGCAAAATAAAAAGACAACTGGCAAGAAGACATGTATTGTAACTCTTTTTTAGTTACTATTTTTATCTTTTTTGACATACCAACGAATCATTAAAAATTACGAAGATTGATTCCTATATAAAGTAACTGTTTGCAGAGAACAGCAATGAAATATTTAGGACAACTTGGATAAGTAGAAATGTAAAAATCAGAGTCTTGTACTAAATCATATGATGAATTTAGTAAATCTTTTTAGTCGTAAGACGCATGAGTACCGCTCAAGCCGGTGCTAGGGGGCGTGAGGGATGTTGCACGTATTCATTATCCCTCATGTACAGACTCAATCAAACCGAGTCTGCAGTTCTCTTGTAATTAAGTTGTGATTAATGCTTCCGAGGGATCACTTTGTTTCCAGATTTTTATACTTCAAAACAGCAGGTGTCAAGTGCTGTGTGGCAGCTGTAAAAAGTTGCCCTGTACTTGACTTCAGTGTTGTTATATTTTTCTGGTCCTTCGGGATCATTGATGCCAGCACTATTAATTTTTGAGAATTGAGTACCGCTCAAGCCGGTGCTAGGGGGGGGGCGTGAGGGATGTTGCACGTATTCATTATCCCTCATGTACAGACTCAATCAAACCGAGTCTGCAGTTCTCTTGTAATTTTGTTGTGATTAATGATTCCGAGGGATCACTTTGTTTCCAGATTTTTTAGGATATATTCTAGAAAGAAAGTATCTTATAATAAAAGAAACCATGTTACTACATCGAAATCGTCAGACATGGTTAAGAACAGACAAATATTTTCCTAGTCCAATTTGAGACTTGATTTCGCTTTTAGAAATGTTTCCTTGAACTTTTAGAGTTTAGCTTATTTGTAGCAGGAGAGTTGTAAATAAATGTCTTGTAGGACTGGTAAAACTGAAAAATTAGGAAGTTTGAATTTACAAAATTATTGAATATGTATTGGAATACTTTATATGAAGACGCAGTCTTAAAAGCAATATAATTATGCTGTTTTTTGTTTGTTTTGTTTTTTGAAACAAAATGAATGCTGTCCAGGTATTCAAAAGACCTTTAACACTTGACTGGCACGCCCGGGGTTTTGATAAGTGGGTGGCTCGACAACACGCGTGTAACCCCCCAAGGAAGTGAATATTTTAAGCAAACATATTGACGGAACTTCACAAAACGCTTGAGCGTGGACTGCATTGCTTTTCCATGCAGTCTTATAATCTGTTCTATTTAATTAATGTTGATGATATGTTGATTTTTCGTAGGTACATTCAGAAATGGCAAGTTAAAATCAGTGAACTTTTTACAACAGTTTGTTAATAATTTTGTATGTAAACACTCTTGTCCACGGCTTAGACATCCCTCGTATATACTACACTTTACAATTATCAAACATTAAATTGAATGCCTTTGGCAATTAATAAACATGTAAACATTATTGTATTTCTTTAGGTTCACACATTGAATTGGAATAAATAAGTCGACATGAATTATCTGAAGGTAAACAGATTTATTCTTTTTTTATTTAGATAAAAAATATCTTAACGCATTAAAAATACTTTAACGTTGTCGAATTTAAGTGTTATATTACGATTATTGTAAAGATATTATGAATTTTACGCATTTATTTGAATTGGTTACAAACTTCTTATCACAGCAAAGCCAGCGCAACTTGTTTTACTTAAAGAATATTAAAATCAGAAAGAATTTTAAATCGGGTCATAACCGTTCTTATTTTGGGAAGTCAAAAAAGTGTTGAAGGAACTCAAAATATTGCACTATCATGTAACTGAAATGTGTGACACGTGCAAGATAAAATATTCTAACAGGACCCGCATTTTTCCGTATTGCATATAGAAGAACCGAAAGAGTGTGTTATTATGCAATAAAATTACTGTTGCAGTTCTATATTTAGATATGCGACGTTATCATTATACACGTGACGTAACCACTAAAAATCTGACGCGCTGAAAATAAGTAAGTTACTCTAACAGGCGCAATTTTGCTTAATATCAGGTACAGCACCCTTTATATAATGATGTCGTGTTAGAATCGAAATTATATATCCAAATCGGTGATTTTATCGCTGGATAACATCACTGTTTATCGTTCGGATGCAAATTATTATATAATTCCTCGCATCCGAATTCAAAACAGTGAGGGAAGCGGTGGCCTAGTGGTTAAGGTGTCTGCCTCTCAATACATGATTTCGAGTCCTTCTCGGGTCACGACCATGTTTCTTCATATGACACAAGTACTAGTTAGTTCCATAACGGACTCGAAAGTGATTAATATAAGTTCTATGAACTTGTTTCGCAATCGAGCTGAAATAAATATGTTTAAACCAAAACAGTGATGTTATTGAGCGATAGAATCACTGTTTGGGATATATTATTTCTTAAGTATACTATATTCATTGCAGTATAATGCAAGCAATGTTTAATTTCATGGTTAGACACCTAGACTGATACACATGTGCTAAAAACTGCTGAAAAACAACGTTTAAATTAGGTTGTTTATAGATTGCAACTGACGTATCAACACCAAATATGTAAATTTACTACGCTATTCTTTTAAAAATTGTTAAGATGTGTAGCATGTTTATAACAAAAATAATACTTAACAATAAGATTTTAATTGCTCACAATACAGGGATCTTTACATGATTGTGATTGTATCGTTATGGTTAATTGTTTGTTTGTTTGCAGGAATACACTGTTTACATGAAACAATCACAGTAGCATATGCATTTAATATTCACCATGACGTTGCATAAAATGTTAAATTTATGTACCATGTCATAAAACATTTTTAAATAGCAAATAAGTAAGTTGCTATATGAGTCCAAGTAACTTTTGTTTATAATCAGAAATCGTAGCATGATAATTCAAACTATAATAAAAAGTGTTTGTGTCGTTTTAAAATAACTACTTATGTCATGCAATTTATTGAGATAAAGGAATATTATTAGTTTTATAATATAATTTCACACACTTATGCACACATTATTAAGTTGAAACGTTCACGTGAATTCTTTTGTGCTTCTTTGCAGATGAATATAGAAGTGTTTCTGGTCTTTGTAATGCTTATCTGTGAATGTTTGATACCAACTCAAGGCAAACGAAATAGGAAAGACAAGAGATCACTAACTGTAAGTACAAACTAGAAACTGCAATATTATAATGTTGTCTATTAAATTGGAAATGGTGTTTGCTTTAGTCTTGTTGATGAGACTGTTTGAATACTAGTTTAAACATATTTTATTTCAAACATTTTACACATACAAGATTTACATACAATGGTGAAATAATACAATACAATGCTGAATACTAGATCCAGTAGGTATAACAAGTATTTCAATTTAAACGAATTAAAATTCATTGAAATTGAAACGTCTTGCTGAAAATATTACCGTATACAACCATCAGCTGCTAGATGAAGAAAAATGCAAGACAAACATCTTCCTGAAATACAAAGTATATCTAGGAAATGCTGTTTGTAAAGAAAACAACGCTTCTTCACTCTGATAATAATGCCTACGTGGAATCTTTGATCAATAGCTACAAGATTTGTTTTTCAGTTTTATAAAATAGAGAAAGCAGTAATCCCTAAAGAAAGTCCAACACAACATAATTGAAACTGTTGCAGGCTCGGTTTGATTGAGCCTGTTCATGGACGGTACTGTAAAGTGCAAACTACCGTCCACGCCCCCTAGCACCGGCTTAATCAGAATTCAACATTTAACATGAATTGGTACAATTTTGACTTTTGAAACATCCGCAGATGTGTTCATATGGCGGTTATCATGGAACCTTCAATGTGACATGCTAGTGCCATATCATGATAAGCGGCATATGGTCCCCACGTAAAAAATGCGTGTGCCCTAAACGAAAAAACAATGGGCGTAACTAAATAAAATCGAATTTTGAAAGGGTATCAGAGGTTATGAAGCCTCCATATCAAAGATAATACGTCAAAAGACAAATTTAAAAAACAGGCCACATATCCTAATGGTGATTGAACAGTATTCAAGTGAGGAATACTGGAACCACCAAACAAGAAACAAAAAACGAATAGAAATAACTAAATTACTATAAGCACAACAATTATGTCGTGCTGAACGATCTTTAAGGATCGGAAATATAACATCTCTGATTGAATATACGGGGTGACTTTTTACAGCCTCCACACGGCACAAACAACGCTGATGTAACGATAAAATAGAGAAAGCAAGAATCCCTAAGGAAAGTCCAACACAACATAATTGAAAATGTGTTGCAGGCTCGGTTTGATTGAGCTTGTTCATGGACGGTACTGTAAATTGCAACTACCGTCCACGCACGCTAGCACCGGCTTAAGCAGAATTCAACATTTAACATGAATTGGTACAATTTTGAATTTTGAAACATCCGCAGATGTGTTCATATGGCGGTTATCATGGAACCTTCAATGTGACATGGTAGTGCCATTTCATGATAAGCGGCATATGGTCCCTACGTAAAAAAAATGCGTGTGCCCTAAACGAAAAAAACAATGGGCGTAACTAAATAAAATCGAATTTTGAAAGGGGATCAGAGGTTATGAATCCTCCATATCACAGATAATACGTCAAAAGACAAATTAAAAAAGCAGGCCACATATCCTAATGGTGATTGAACAGTATTCAAGTGAGGAATACTGGAACCACCAAACAAAAACAAATAGAAATAACTTAATAACTATAAGCACAACAATTATGTCGTGCTGAACGATCTTTAAGGATCGGAAATATAACATCTCTGATTTAATGTACGGGGCGACTTTTTACAGCCTCCACACGGCACAAACAACGCTGATGTGACGATAAAATAGAGAAAGCAAGAATCCCTAAAGAAAGTCCAACACAACATAATTGAAAATGTTGCAGGCTCGGTTTGATTGATATATAAAAGTTCTCTTTTGGCAGGTATTGACATTCAACACAATGCTTCATGAATCGCGAGAGGACTTGTTTGAGACCAAGGCGTTACGGAAGAGAAATCTAATTCAAAATCTTAAATCATCGAAGGCGGACGTAGTTTGTCTTCAAGAGGTAACTTAAAGTTATGTACATAAAGCTGACTTTCATATACATGAATTGATATATTTCACATACTAAAAATAATTACATCTCGGTACCCTTTTCTGTAGAAGATTAAATCAAAACATAATATATGATACATTTCTTTACAATATGTGTGGAAGTGATAAATTGGCTGAAACATATTATGTTGATTATTCTGTTGCCTTGTATGTCCGAGTTTTATTGATTAAATTGTGCGTTCTCATATATCAAAACATGAAGTATGTTACAATAGTACAAGAAAACTGAACTTTTGATAGTTTGCCTTTCTTTCCAAACTATTGAAATTGTTAGTAAGTTAGAAAGTCACGTTTGTTCCATATACAAGTATAATACTAACGGTCAGTCTCATTATTTAGAGCTATCGAACACGTCATGAAAATCTTTATCTGTAGTGTTTTCGTTTGAAGTTATGAACAGGGAATTAAATATTTCTATATCTCACCCAGTTTCAGACAGTCACATATAACTTATATCCTACTGATATTTTTTCATATCTCATCGATAAAGAATATTAGGATAAAGTGTTTAAAATAAAAAAAAATTATGACCTATATGTATCAACACAGGTATTCTTTGGTATAGATTTAGAGGATATTGTTAAGGGTTTGAGGAAGCAGTTTCCCTACTCATTCAGTGGATTGCATGATGACGTAAACGACTTTCCATCCCAAGCAAGAGGAAGGCGACGTAAGAACAATACACGAATACTTTAATTATAAAAATACAACAATTCGTCTTGATCTCTTACAATAACAGTTAGCAAACAAGAGATGTTAAATTTAATATTTCAATATTTCACGATTACATACTTTTGTTTTTCTAAAAGTGAATAAGTTACAATTTTGTATTTAAACATATTATGAATATTTGAAAGTTAATGTAATTTTGTATTTCTTCAACAGTTTTATGGAAATATTTTGTTCTATAATCATAGTAACATTGTCCTCACATATCATTTGTCTTTGCGAGATAATCACTCATTTAATGGTGTATGACGTCATCTTCTTATCGGATATCATTTGTGTATCATGCTAGAATAAATCCAATGTTTATATTATTATCACAGGACCACCGTGCGACCATAGTAAACTCGACAAATTTCTAACATGCGCAAGAACAACTAACTGCCTTACTACTCCATATAAAGGAGAGTTGAACAATTGCGTAAAAGTACATTGTGTGCAAGAGATTTCTGAGATATTCAAGAACGATGATTCTGATTGTTTGAACTGTTTGGCTTCGTCGGTGAACAACATGCAAAAGTATGTTTCCAAAATATGCAAAAGAGTTAAAGAAGATAATATCAAATATTATATCTATAATCCAAAAGTCAAAATATTCAAAACAGTTTGAGAGTAAACCCTTTGCTAAAAATTTAATCTGTTGATTGAAATTACAATTGATTGAAAGTAACAGCCTAAAGCAAGTAATATACTATGTTACTTCAACTGATGAACAAGATATTCCTTTATACATGAGTAATCAAAGAAAGATCGCATTCGTGGTGATTTACAAAGTTTTCATAATACTGTTTATCCAAAACAATTATTTTATCATTAGAATTTTAAAATCAAATTGCAGGTGTTCATCACCAAGGCCGGTACAAGGTGGTCGGGCGATAAATAAAGGAGGTCTTGTACTTTTATCGAAAAGAAAATTGAGTGATGCAACGTTCAATGCCTATCACCCTGAGGCAAAATTGTTTCGGACAAATGGATATATAAAAGCAGATGTAATATATAAGTAAATAGTATATTAATTTGAAACGTGTATGAAAAATGGCACAAATTTGTTTGAAATAAGATTTATATGGTCTACATAATATTTATAAACACACCAAAATTATAAGCAATTTTAATACATTAATTGTATGTATGTGTTAAGTACGTTATCTTTTATTCATATATATATTCACGATTTTCAACATATGTCTTAATCTGAGATGCGTGCATTTCACATCCTTAGATTGACATTCCTTGATTTTTATCATCATAAATTATTTGAAACAATGGCGAGCAAGACAAATGATACAAACGATACAAAAATCTTGAGTTGATTGCGTCAGAAATTTCATAGTTAAAACAGCACTACTAAGCCCAGCTCATGCAGCACTCAACACCTAAATATTAAATGATGTTTCTTCAGAATTTAAGAACATCCGCGATTGTGTTGAATGTTAAGGTCCTGACATACTAGACTGCGCTTTTACTGCGGTTGCACGGCGTTGTTTAATTTAACAAAGCGCCGTGAGATCGCAAAAAAGTGCAATATTTTTGACGACGTGGAGTCTTCATGGCGTCTTCACGGCGATCATGAAGATGCTACGAGTTTTCACGGCGTTAAAATGGCGATTGTCTTCATTCTGAGAGCGCTTCTACTGCGTTCTTTGCGTTTCCACTGCGCTTTTACGGCGCTCACACCGCTCTCGCGGCGCTCACACTGTGCTTAAAAAGTTAAGCTCCGTAAAAGGGTGTTGCGTTGTAGGAGATGCTACTGAGTTGCTACGGCGTCCTTACTGCAATTCCACTGCGCTCTTATCAGAACACCGAGTGACGGCGTTTTTTTAAGCAGGCTCAAATTGCGCGCCGTCGTCGGCGTTCTATGCGAAGCCACTACGACGCTATGCCGATGCTGCGGCGATGTTTGCGATCTTACTGCGCTCACCTCGGCGTTTTGAATTTCTTTGGATGCCGTGAGAAAGTCGTTCTAGTGTGACACGGGTTTAACATTTCATATCATTCGCATCGTCGGAACCCACGGTACACATTCCGTATATATTACATTTAATACTGGTATACGGTAAATAGCCTGGGTTACCGAGGATGTACTATTCCATAAATACCTAAATGAACGAATAACTTGCACTAAACCAAACAAAATGTAAGCGTATCTACATTATTATCGGTAAAAGATATAAGATATGTCTTTTATGCTCGTGATTTTTCTAACAATTATTAGGTTAATTATCATTTAGTGGAACGTTTAAACAAGTCTTACTGGTGGAACAACATGTCAGACTAAAAAATATTTTCTAACCTTTTGATATATTCAATAATGTAGGTGATTAATCATACATGCTCAATGTCACCACTTTAATTTGAGGGCTCATTATGTCTCAGAAATGCTTTTATTATTATTTCTCAAAAGTTTATACGTGTTCGTATAGTTTTATAGTACCCAAAATAAAACTCATTGGCTAATTACATGAACCATCATTTTCATTATGTATTGCATTTTGGCAATATGTGCAGTTTGCGTATAAGTAATTTGTATGGAAGTCAAAATACTGCAGTCACTTTGTTTATATTTTGCTACTTTTATGAAAAATTATTCCACAATTATTGCTAATTTCGAATTGCTTATTACGCTACAAGCATCTTACATTCTTATTTAAACAAAATCATGTTTGCCCTTTCTAAAGAAGTAAAAAGTTACTTGTTTCTGATGTATAATATGCCTTTAACTATAGTAAAAGTATTAAGTATTTTATGATAATTTAGAAATATTTAAAGATTTGTTTAACTCCATTGACAGATAGATGATGTCGCAACAGCATTCTGTACAAGTCTTAGTGATTCATACGAATGGTTTCTTGAACGTAAGTTTATTGTTTATATCCCCTAAAATACCTCATGTGTAAAATAATTTGTTTACCTAGTAAGATGATTTTATGAATGTATGGATAACACATGCATTTTTTTCTGTACAAAATATATACATAAAAACACCAGCAAAAGGCAGTGTCTGCATTCTCAATACAGTATCAACAGGCAGTTCTACGCTGTCTAATTTCACTGAGATACAAAAATCTTGACACCACCGAAAGGTAGACAATGTATACCTATTTGAGCGGATGTAGAAAAAAGTCTAAGATGTAGTCGTATTAGATCATGGTTCCCTTTTTGTGTCGCCTCTACGGAGTAGTGGCGACATATAGGGATCACTTCTCCGTCGTCTGTCTGTCCGTCTGTCTGTCCGTCCGTCTGTCCGTCCGTCCGTCACAAAACTTGTCCGGACTACTCCTCATAAACTACTGGTGCAATTTCATCCAAACTTTACAGAAATGATCAGTACCAAGTCTAGTTGTGCATATTGTCAGCATTTTCCAGTTCATTGATTTTTGTCAGAGTTTCGCCCTTTTATAATTTTTAATTTTAAAGTTTGTCCGGACTACTTCTCTTATACCACTAATGCAATTTCAATGAAACTTTACAGGATTGATCTGTAGCTCAAGTCCTTGCGCATGTTGCACGGGTTTTCCGGTTGAATGATTTTTGGCTGAGTTATGGCCCTTTGATAAAAAGGTGTTTTTTCTGTGTGTTGCTAGATACACAAAAGCTTGTCCGGACTACTCCTCATAAACTACTGGTGCAATTTCATCCAAACTTTACAGGAATGATCAGTACCAAGTTTAGTTGTGCATATTGTCAGCATTTAACGGTTTAATGATATTTGTAAGAGTTATGGCCCTTTAATAATTTTCATTTTTAAAGTTTGTCCGGACTACTTCTCTTATACCACTAATGCAATTTCAATGAAACTTTACAGGATTGATCTGTTACTCAAGTCCTTGCGCATATTGCACGGGTTTTCCGGTTGAATGATTTTTGGCTGAGTTATGGCCCTTTGATAAAAAGGTGTTTTTTTTCTGTGTGTTGCCAGATACGCAAAAGCTTGTCCGGACTACTCCTCATAAACTACTGGTGCAATTTTATCCAAACTTTACAGGAATGATCAGTACCAAGTCTAGTTGTGCACTGTCCGTCTGTCTGTCCGTTTGTCACAAAATTTGTCTCACCATGAAATTGGCCATCATGAGGCGACACATGTGATCACTGATTGCTCTTGTATTCATTCTTAGGCAAAAGGAAGTATACCAGTCTGTTAAAAATCAAAATTAATGATTGAGGAAGTAATTAAAAACAGATGTTTGTATATCTTGAAATATTACATTGGTTTTAATACAGTAACTATTATATACTGAATCAGGTTCTGAATGTATTAATATTGTTATATTATGTTATAGTCGACATGATAAAGAATGGTACATTTTCGTCGTACAGCGAAATGAACACTCATCAAACAAATACTCTAATCACAAGTGTCCGGGATACCAAGACTGCAGTCATTCTTGGTGACTTCAACGCAGGTTTAAGATACGTGAGTGGACAATATACTAAGCAGGCCGGTAATTGAAGTTTAAGAAATAAAATTATTACCATCATTTGACTTCTCAGAAGAAAACAAGTGATGCTTTTTTAAAAATCATACTTTTTCTTCTGAAATTACATCAATTAAATATACAACACAAGAAAAGCTATTAGATATATACAAAGTTTAACATATAATATTTTTTTAGTTTTATTTAGTGCTTTAAACAACTATCAAAGTTATTATATATTATCATTTATTTTTTCAAATGTATATTTTTGCGATATATATTTTCCGTTGTATAATAACTTTAAATGTGGTTCATACAATTTTATGGGACGGGACACAATAAGAAACAGTATTAAATCATTTCCTTTTGATAACAAAAAGATGCCTCATCTTCGACTTGGTTCTTAGACCTCGATTAAACATGTATATATAATTATACAAAACTCTCATCTGTATTTTCCATTGTTTATTTATGTGGTGTCACCTCCTTTTCCTTTTAGTTCTTATGCTGTAAACATACTCGTGTCATGAACGTCATGATCATGAGCTTTAGTAACCTAATGACTTAATATTGATTGGGGGACTCATCTAACATACAGGTATATTTTACAATAACACCAGTAAAGGATATATTGACGGTGCTTTGGGTTGAAATATGTTGTACTTCCCATGAAAGATTCTGTAATTTAGATTATTTGCTTTCGTTTTCACTGCTTCCATCTAAAGAAATTTGAACAGACGAAAGCCACATATTGAAATATATTTAAATTTATACTTCAGAGAACTACTTGCGTTTTTTAAAACGTTTTCCAACAATGCCAGCCATACAATACACATATCGTAAACAGACACGATCATCCTATAGCTATGTCAGGGACCATGTCTTTGTGAAGAACATGTTATATCGTAAAACAGAAGTAAGTTTCGTTTCACGCGCTGTACACGCTTCTCTTTAAACATAGTTTAATAAAATATGAACAAGCTTGGTTGCTGCTTAAGTTGTTTAATGTATTCGTATAATGTATATAAGTCATTCACATAAACCATTAGGTCATATAATATGTGTGTTACATGAAGAGTTTGTTGCGTAATAGCAAACACATACAATGTATCACATAATTTGAATAACATCATTATCATGATGAGAGAAATACTTTCAATGTATGACTTAATTAACAACCCATACATCAAAGCTTCGTGATGGAAGATTGTTTTGCCTTTTATTGAAATGACAAAAATTTTGCCTTACAGCACTTTTATAAAACATAAGAAAGAAATTAAACTATTAAAGGTCCATTATCTCTCAGTAATGTTATCAGTTTTATTTCCCAAAACCTGTGTAATTATGGTATTTTGTTACAGTTTACAAAAGCATATTCATTTTCTATATACATGAACTCAGGTGGTAATTGGTATAATTATAGTGAAATAGTATGGAAGTCAAAATACTTCTTTGTTCGTATTTTGTTACCTTTACCACACATAACCGCATGTCTAGCACTATTGTTTCAGTTGTAAAACATCTAACAATCACTTAATCCATTTTTCTCAACATTGATGTTTGACATTACTAAAGAATTAAAAATATGGATTTCTGAGACATAATGTAGTCGTTTATTTTAATTTATAGTGATTTTGTTATGAATGCAAAATATAATTATATTCTAAATGTTATATTGTTATTTTACAGAGAGTGTTTCTTCATGAAGAAGATGAAAATGTTCGGATCAGTGATCATGTCGGGGTACAAACGCTCATCGAGCCACCTTGCTAATATGATATAACTTATCTATGCTTGTTGAAGATCATAAAATCTTAAATAAAATGCATATTTTGCGACGTATTATCAAACGTTTGCACTCATTTATACATACACTATTGTTGTCATGAAATGAATTGACTAGTACAAGATAATAAGGAGGCGCAGCTGTATGTTTAACTCACGCCTGCACAGTGTGTGTCAGTCGTCTTAAAAGTTTTACATAATTGTCATGAACATGGATATGGGCAACGTGATATACTAAATATAAATAAGGAAACAATATGTATTAAAAAGTTTTCTGTAATGTTTACTGCTGAGAGGAAAGTCATTTCCCTTACTCAAGGTATTCATATGTATCATGTGACCTATATTGTTTCTTCTTAAATGTAAAACTTGCAAGTACTTCACGCGCCATTGCAATTTAACAAATAGCAACCGCGTTTCTTAACACATGACATAACGTCAAAACTGCCAGTTTAAGTTTCACATTGGCACATAAATCACTACATAAAAGTGCTATTACAGTTGTAGCGGGATACATTGTGCATCACTCTGATGACGTTTATAAATAGTTAATTACGATGTACATATTCCGTATATACTTAATACGGTAAATAGCCTGGTTTACCGAGAATGATTTAAAACAGAAATATTTTATGCCATAACTTTTGAACAAAAGGGAGGAACATTTTACTATGGATATATAGCTACACGCCAGGAAAAACTGTTTTCACAATTTTTAGTGAAAGCCACCGTCTTATGTATGTGATTGGCTAAGCTCAAATCACTTCACAAACCTCACGTGACTATAGGGAATAGCACGTGAATGCAAAATGAAGGCTACTTAACCTACGCAAAAGAAAACTGTTTTAGTTTAAAAATTTCTTTTTGTGACAATACCAAACGTAATTCCATTTTTTTCGGAAAGAAGTACATACAATCAAACATATCCTTGCCTCAATACTATTTCAGGTTTTATAGATTGTGAGTATCCTACTTTCACTTTACTTAAATATATAGAAAATATATCACTTTTTAGATAGTTTTTTCTAAATAAAATTTTATCAAAATGTTGATAAAAACTTGTGATGGCAATGGTCTATGTAGCGGCACAAAAGGGGACCATATTATTCAAACATTTGTTCACAAATCGTTTCGTACCATCAGATTTTGCATAAGATATCTAAACCAATATTTGAACATTTTTATCGTATCTTACGATTACATAGGGACAAACGGTGGCTTCAATTCTGATGCTTCAACCTTTAAATGCAGCCCATCAGCCACAATGGGGAACACTATTTGCGAGGGCAAACAGAAAACGGATTTAAATGAAACGCATTCCATTTGTCTTCAAGTATGAGCAAATGCTCTGCCTATACATAATATGAACCGCATAAAAACGTGTTAAAGAAATAAGTCAATGCCACTGAATCTTTATAAAATAGCGACATTTTGTTCTGAGCTGTAAGTTGTGTGAACAATAAATTTCTAAAAATTGATTGTTATAATGGTGATTGACTAACAATTAATGATAAAGATTGTTAAGGATACAATATATAAAAAACTATCAAAAGTATTAAAAGACTGTCCTACTCTTTTTTAAGAATTGAGCGTTACCGATATTTATATAATTGTCCGTTGGTCACGTGGATTAGTGGTTATTTAATTATTGTAAAATAGAAAAATGAACACCGTATGGCGAAATGTCAAGTTATTTTTATTTTCAAAGTTCACTGACCACTTACACTTGGATGGCCATAAAGTCCCTTTAATGGATTTCAATATTAAAACTTCTTTTCTAAAAGTAACCAGAAGCATTTAATTGTAAGATTATAATAGTGTTTAATTCTCTCCTGCGAAAAAGTTCCCAACAATTTCCTGAACAAACAAGTCACATCATCACGAACATGTATTCGTTATTTGACACATTTGGAAGTTTCGTGTCAGATGTTCAGATTTCATATTTAAACACTAACGCACCCTTTAGTTTTCTCTTAATCAATGTTTGTACAAGCTTACCAAGGAGTGAAAGGCTTTAATACAGTTGCTTTGTGCGTAAAATATGTATAGCTTGTAATCTTGTTAGATTATTAGATATCACTACAGGGGAGTTTAAACTTAGTTTGGGCGTTTTAAACCTCACTCTTAGCCCAAATATATTCCGAGACAGTGTAAATAAAATGAATCCCCGCCCTGTGAATTCTAACAATTGTTATGGTCACATTAGAGATTTTAAATAAAACGCATAAATGATCAGGTAATTATATACAAAGATGATACAGTAACAAATACCATAACTGAAACGAAGTACTCGATGCTTTACAGGAATGCAGAACAACATGAATATCGCCTACAAGGGATCGACGAACCAAGTAATAAGACGAAAATTTAAAACAGTTCAGTGCAAAAGGCTTTATCAACTATCCATCATAGAATCTTCGACTTCTCCAGATGAAGTGAAAAGGGACAGCGTGTCGTTTAACTGATAGAGGATTGAACACCAAGAATGCGATATGTCTTATAATAATTGGTCATAGCCTCTTTTAATAAAACGTTTAATGAATTTAGTGAAAGCAGCAAAAATGTATTATGATTCGATCATACATCATCTCTATAGAAATCAGGCTTGCTAGCACCTTGTCGTTAACAGTTTTTAAAATACAATTCAAGTTCAAAATTAAATGTGAATTACTATCATCATGGTAGAACTTTTAACAATATTTACGTTATTTATGGTAGCGATATACTTATTGAAGATTTTCGGATAATAAATAGATTACGCTAATTAAAATTATCTACACGACAGCACACCTGAGCAAATATTTGCTTGAGGCACTTTTATATCTAAATGTGGGTAGTTAACTATAAAATCAACCTTTTTATTACAAATTTTAAGTTACTTTCATAGTACTGTTATTGATAGAAATGTAAATATCTAAAACAGAAGCTTGCTTTAAATTGATATTTATGTAATGTGTGAATCCTGTTAATAAAAATAAGTTCTTTTTCATCGACATGGACATTAAACTTAGAAATACTAGAAAGATGACTGTATGCAATATCCATTTCAGAAACAAATGTTGTAGAATAAGCATATGTGCTGTAAAGTTCGTTTTGTAAAACATTTATATTATGTAATGTCATACGGTAATTGTGTAATTGGGCGCCATGTTAGCCGAAATTAAACCGAATTTACAGTGGAACGCTAACATTATTTTCTAGATGTCGTAAAGAAAGTCTATGTTTAGTATGTAGAAGATGTTTATTTCTATAAACATATTGATACGTGATGCCATATTTTAAAATATATCGTGCTTTAATGCAGCATTTTGCCACGACACCATTTAACCGAAAATACTAGATCAATTCAGCTATCTACCTACGTAATGCTATGACATCAATAACGGAAGGAATCAAATATGTGGTATTTTAAGATATAAATAACGAAAATTCGTTTACTTTATCAGACTAATGATAATATGGCCAAAATCCTAAGTATGGTATTTGAACTTTTGCAGTCACAACTAGTTAGTCAAATAGTTAAACTCGAAGTCTATGTAGGACACAATTTTGCACTATTGAGTATGAAATTTTGTAACGGGTATAATATATTTCTAGGAAATAATTGAAATCTCTGTGTTTGTAAAGTAAATAGAAATTGAATTGATAAAATTCTAACTTGTTTCTGCCTTTAATAAAATATCTGCCCCACTCGATTTTTATAATTAAAATTGAACGTTACAGGTAATTTCCAACCGATATTTATAAAACTTTACAGTAATTCATCGTTCATTCAAAATAAATAATCAACATCAATAGGAAAATGTCAAAATGTAAATTATTTTTTATTTTCTTCGGTTCACTCACTAAATACCCTTGGATGGACATAACGTAATTGTAAGGCAGTGTCTGCCATGTTCTTTGATAGGCCAAATCATGGATTAAACACAATAGGGGATTGAATTAACACAACCAAATAGGAACTTTGTGTAAATAACATTTTCAATAAATAAACAAATGCTCAAAACAACAAGTGACGAAAGTGACGACAAAAATCTAAAGGTTTTAGATAATAACATTGCTTTTTAATTGCATTATTAAACAAGTATAGAATATTTACTAATGAGATAAGATCTTGACATAACCAGTGAGCGCGCACGGTCAATTTTAATAGCATTTGTTAGCTAATAATTGTTGATGTTTATTTACCTTTCATTGAACTGGTATTTTGAGGTACACATTAATGTTTTTACACTTCAATATAGCTTAAAGCATAATTAGTAAAAGCAAATGATGGACATACCACTTCTAAGTAGGGGTGTATATTATGCTTTAAAGTGATAATCTTATGACACCTTCTAACGGTAATGGGTAATAATGCAATTAAAATACCTAAACACCCTTCTATTTATAATGTACAGGACGGTATGAATATTCTTTACAAAGGTCAAACAACGTTATAGTAGCAACGTTGTATACATAAAGAAAACGGATTTCATACAAACTGGCACACTTAATTGTAAGTTATTTTCTCATAATCTATCTACCTTATACACATAATTCCACCAACTGTGGCCCTTCATTCATTTTGTTTTTTTATAATTCTTATTCTATCCTTTTGCTGATAAATATTTATGCTACAAATTTCGTCTTTGAACAATTTATGCATTATTTTATTAGCTGTAGAAATGTTATCATTTCTGTATCAATGGATAAACAACCAGGAATCTTTCGTCAATAATGTAAATGTTTTCCTGTATATGACAACATTAACAATCTCTCCCAAATTCATGCAAGAATCTATATTTTAATCTAAAGACATAATAAATTCAAATGCATCTACATCTAATAGATTCGATAACTATCGTGCAAGCAAATGATCTTTTTTCGCATATAACTTACTTAATTATACTGAAACTTTGTTCTTCCTTTAGATGTTGCTGTTGAAAGTTGCTTTGATTTATGTGCTAGCTTGCTGTCTGTATCGTGACGTTGATGCAGAGACCGTAAAGGTGAATATTTTATATATTTTTTCACAAGGATGAGTATGTTTGGAAAAAATGACGTGATACCTAAATTGTTTTAATATTGTTTTCTATTTTTGATAAACGAGAACCGTGAATATGTTATATGCTGTAATACCATTACTCATTAAAACTTTCGATACAACGGGTGGATACGTTGAAATTCACGAACACATTTGACAAAATTTATTTCCTAACGGATATAGTTGGCACGAGCACCTGAGTAGAACCACAGACATTACCTAAGCTAGCTGGATAAATGTTTCTTAGCATGTATAGTCTCTGGCTAAATTCGACAGGTAGTTTGAAGTCAGGATCGATGACAACTCGGCCAAGGACCCCACTGATAGTAACTCCTAATTGTGGCTACTGTAATATTATTTTTGTTCAAAATCTGTATACAATATTCTGATAAGAATTTGCATTGATAGATGCATCGATGGACATTATTCTGTGCCGATCTGTTAGCTATCCAATATCGATTTATTTAATTATTAATCAAAATACAAAGCATGATCTGCTATCAGTATAGCCTGGTTAGATTACACAAAACTGCAGGTTTTCCTGGCTCTTGATTTGTGACAAGGGTTAGTTTGAATTGGTTCCTGAAGGTTGGAATTCGTCGTAAAATGGTGTCTAAACGCTCCCTTACATCTATCCAATTCTACAATTCTAGTAAACTGTATTTACTTTAATGTGAAATGTTTCCCTCAGGTATATTATGTGAGTAAATTGGGAACAAAAATATTAAGTGTCGATTTCCCAATAAAGTCAAGAAAATTCATAGTTTTTTGCCAAATGACGCATTAATTTTAAGTGTGGTAATAAATTAGGTACGTTGCGATGGTTCTCGTGTTTTTTTAATCCATCTACCGCTACAATGTTGTTGCTAAGACCATTTTATCAGTGAAATTTAAGAATTTTCTCATTTTCATGCTTAAGGTATGTTCTGTATGCAGTACGTCCGCTTTGAAGTTTATTCAAATCAGTTAGAATAACTGTCAACTGCATTTAAACTGAACGCGTGGGTTTAAACTCCATAAGGGCCAACTTCATCTTATTTACATTGTTTATATACCTCTCATATCGCTATTTGAAGGAAAAATGTGTTAATCTTACATGTCTTAATTAAAACATTTTATGCTCAATAGGTCTTAACCTACAACACTTGGCTACATGAGTCGGATAATGAAGCCATTGAAAACAAAGACACAAGAAGGACAAATATCATGAAGAGTCTAAAGTCTTCGAATGCAGATATTGTTTGTTTGCAAGAGGTTCGACATTTATATTAATTTAAATCTATAAAATTCGATAAACAATTCTATGAAGATAATCCGTAAGAGTTGTGGGGAGGAAAAAATAAAGGTGATAAGAATTGATGTATGAAAACCTAATGCATCAGTCTTAATACTGGCAAGTTTCCTTGCATAACAAATATACTTAAAACTACTTAAGTCAGATAATGGAATAAAATGCATTGTGTTTGATGTGTGTTGCTTAACTTAAGTTGGAATTGGGGTAGCAGGAGGGTTACTATGTCTGATTTAGCTGACAACTGTTTTGTTACTTGAGTCAATAATAGTTGAATTTATTTATTTATTTATTTATTGCTCCGATTTACTTTTATTTCTAGAGAAATTTTAAAGACTTTTTCATAAGCAAAGGTATAAAAGAAATCTTTTTTATCTACTAGGTTTATATCGGAGAAGATATGGAATTTATAGTCGACGGCGTCAAAGATGTGTTTCCGTACTCATTTAGCAACTTACATACAGGTGTAAGCAAATATGAACCTCAGGCAACAGTTTCAAGACGTACGTATATAGCATGAAAATATGCAGTGTTCTCTTTTTAATCGTCAAATCAGTGTTGTACCATGTTGAGACCATGAAACAACGCTACATTCAGTCAATCAGGATTGTAGTATTTCAAATCCTTTAAGGTTGTGTTCAACACGACATTTTTATTATGTTTTGGGTTATCTAAGTTTCGTGATCGATTTTCTAGTTTGATGGTCCCAGTTCTCCTACGTGGAAATTATTAAATCGCCCGATGGACATATTGCAAACATTCTAAATTGGTCGTCTGACAGCTTGTCTGGGATATTCATGCTTCATACTAAGTATATGATCCCCTTTCAAACATCCATTTTGTATACCTACGCTTATTGAATTATTGTTTGAACACAATATTTTCTCCTAGCTTTAGGACCACTTTAAATAGAATGTATTAATCTCTCACTTTGAATGTTTTCTGTTGCCTCCATCTGTCACAATACTTGTTCAGACTGCTTCTCTACTACTGGTTCAACTGCTTCGAACTTTAAAGAAATTATCAGTATCAAGTTGGGTTTTGCATTTATCGATTCAATGAGTTTTGTCATAGTTTGGTTGCTCAAGTTCTTGTGCATATCTTGCGTGCTTTCCCATTAAATAATTGTTTTGCTAAGTTGTTGTTAAAAAAGCGCGTTTTGTCCTATAAATGGTTTAGCGTCCCCAGGTACACAGTAGCTGAATTATGCAATTGGCTATCTTTGGGCGTCACATGTGATGCCTGATCGCTCTTGTATATTTTATCGGGAGCGGAATGAATCTATCAGTATGAACAATCAAGGACAAAATATGGTCACACCAGATTATAACATAAATTTTTTATATATTTCTTCACAAGGATGAATGCAAATAAATTGTTAGAATTATAGAACAGAGACATTTAGAACAAATATAAACTACGCAAGGCAACGGTCACAGAACGCAGCCAAGAACCCGGAACAGAAGAGAACAAATGGTGAAGGATGGGGAAAGAGACGCGCTAAAAACATATAAAATAAAATAATGTTCACAAAATGGGGATATAAAAGAGCGCAAATAAAACTCTAATACGGGGAAATTAAACGACGCGGTACGGATGTAACAGCGCAAGCAACATAAAGGTTGTTGAAAACAGAAAACGATGGATGGTAAATATAACTAATGATTACAACAAAAACAAGACAGGACACCAAAGGGCGACTCACAATACACAACATACGGGCGTATAACAGTTAAAAAGGCAAACCTGGTGTTGCGCGTTTAACCTCTCACTTACTTTACTCCTCACTATGCTCTTATAGGACTAGACATTTTAATTATATTAACCGTGTAAAGGAATATTCTAATTCTATGCCGTGGTGACGAGATAAGAAACGAGCATTTGTCACATTACCAAGTTTATCCAATAATACAATTCGTGGTGTCATTCTTCCGATACACTTTTACTGACTTCCTTTAGTAAATCACATTAAATTCACCAATTTACATATTTGTATAGTTTTGCTTCTTTTTAAGAGCCACCATGCGATAACTATCGTCTTGAATACTTGGCCACCTGTCTTGAAGATAATGGATGCAATGCAATTACAACTTCAAAAGAAAATGCTGAATGTGCGGTAGAGTATTGTGGTCTCCGTGCCTATGGTATATTCTTTCTAGATAGCCAAGAGTGCATAAGCTGTATAGCAGCCTCATGGTTAAATCTTGACAAGTAAGTATAAAGTTTTTTTCAGTATTGTATAAGATGACTTAAAAAAAGAAAAACAAATAAAAAGACAAACAGAAAAATCAAATGCATGTTCTTTGTTCTTTTACATTTTATAGAAATGTTTGAATTTAAATTATTAGACATAGGTCCGATATTTAATAGACATTTTCTCAGGTTTTAGTCAGATATTGCGTCCATTTTGTATTTGATTGGTCAAATCATCTTGGAATTTGTAAATTTGATATTTTATACTTAATTTCTGAATTCAAACACTGTCATTTCTAATAAATAATCTACATATTAAAACTGAAAAACCAGTTATTCATACCGTGTTTTGCATGAGTTTCTGCATTTACGTATATTTTAAAAGAAAATATGGACTTTTTTATTTTGTTTAGATTTTCCTTTCAAAACTAATAGATAGAAAATTACATTAACGAACTATTCCAGTGTGTTGCTTCACACTGATGACAGTTTTGAGATGCATTTACGAACTCCAATGGGTTCGTAGGAGCACAGCGCTACAATCTACCTTTATGGCACCGCCAAGCCATTTCTGATGCCGACCCTACTTTTCCTTTTAGAAAAAAAACTAACGCAGTCTGTTGGAAATTTCAAGAAATAAGAAACGACGTTTAAACATGAATAAGAAAAAAACACTGTCTGTCAACCTTGTTTCTTTTATAGTCTTAGTACCTTATGCATTCAAGATATATTCCTGGTATTTATTACCACTGTTATCCAATAAACCATTAGTTTTTCGCTATGAAAGAATAGAAGTCATCTTTAATAGTGTTTCTCGAAACAAATCAGGTGCTTAGACACAGAGGCAGTTGTTGGTGGCCGAGCAATAAATGTAGGAGGTTTGGTTCTGTTGTCAAAGAAAGAAATTAAATCGGTCTCTTACACTGACTTCCACAACTCAACTAAGGAGACGTTAGCAAGAGGTTATATTGAAGCAGAGGTAACGTTTGATAGATAACAAACACCTATTCACTTGTAGGTTATATTGAAACGGAGCACAATTAAGTATTGAGGTAACAGTGTATATTTAAACATTGACAACAATTTAACAAACATATGTTGGATAACATTGAAACGGAGATAACCTTATAACGTATAGCATCAAAAGTGTGGTAACAGTTAATATTTCAGCGGCAATAGCTTTTTAACACATACATATGTACGTTGTTTTTTAAATGATACAACATTGTCTTAAATAAAGATTGTAATAATACTGAATATCTTGAAAAAGGTAATCCCTAGGAAGCATTACAACAGCAAAATTTCATAACATTGCAGACTCGGTTTGATTGAGATTTAAACTATTTTTTAATAGTTTTATTGAAGTTGTGGTACTTATTGAAGCTGATGGTAACACTTTAATTTACGAATATTTAGATTTGAAGTTGACACTAAGCAAATGTTACCTTGAGAGAAGATTAATACAACATTTCATTTTTATTATGCCAATAGTACTCAAACTGTTGTGTTAGTTTGTTTATATGCATCAGGGGTATCGTCACATAAGTAAATAAGTTGTATGAATGTCATTGAGCCATGTATAACTTCATATTTTCTAAACTTTGAATGTACTTAGCACTTACATGTGTACTTGTTAGTATTCATAATTTTCTCATTATAACTGTTTTTGTTACATCATCATTGCTTATTATATATGGTATTGAGTGAAAGAAGACACTTTTTTATATATATATACAGAATTGATCATTCAATTCGATAAATTCTTTAACACTGTCCTGTTTTGACTAAAATCAAATATAAAGGAAATACCGAGATGCGTGCTAACAATATCATTCAATGCAACATTAAACAATTTTAAAACCATCTTTTATTTCTGTTCTGACTGTTCTTGCTGATGGTCATGCTCTGTAAAACAGATCAAAGATTTTGCAACAGTAGTGTGCACGCACTTGAGTAATAAGAAAACAGATGTATACTTTGAAAGTAAGTAGATCTACCTTTTGATATTAGTATGTATCGATACGACCTGTTTGAAAAAGGGATTCATTGTTTTCCGTTTTTGAGAAAAGTTATGTAAATCATAAAGTCATGATAATTTTAAAAGTATAGTAAAGTATATATGTTATCATTTCATGACCGTTGTACATCAATCGTGAACTAAAGTTTGATCAATTTTTTTTGAAGACCTTAAAATCTCCTGCTTATACTGAACATGCTTTAGACAAAAAACTTCTTTTTTGCCATTTTTAATATCATTACTGCCTGAATAGCGAGCAGTACAGACCATGGTGAGACAATCTCACTTATTTTCGTCTGCACTGTTGGCAGACTTAGTTGTCGACAGCAGGACATGTACTTATGTTTTAATAATTTTGTCAATATTAATGTTATATTTTCAGTGGACTATTTGAATGCAGGCATAACATCATATAAAGAAATGAATACAATTGAGGTAGAAACTCTCATAGAACGCTTCAGCAGCGTCAAACCATCAGTTGTAATGGGTTCGTTCAATACAGGATTCAATAGATTCAAAAGTATAATATGATATAACTTTATTATTCAGCTCCCATCTATTGTTCGAAATCATCCTTTTAAATGGCTTGTGAAGAACTTACGAAATATTAAATCTAATAGGCGTTTGTTAATTTCGACGATATGAGTATATATTTTTTTTTTTCATTTTTTTATTTTTTCAAACTTGTCAATGGATTTAAATTTCGTTGAACTTCTTAGTTAACTTTATATTGGACTTGTTTCCAAAAGGTCATGCATTTTCTTCGAATAATTCTCATTACTATGAAAGAGTTATATAATGAAAAGGAGACAAGTCAAATTGAAATGTTTTATACATGTGTGTATCTTATGCTTTTTTTCTAAAAGAAGATAATTCACTAGCTTGGAGTTTGTCAAAAAGTTTGTGGTCGTGAGCTAGAGAAATGATCTGAGCATATAATATTGTCATATTATTTTTTCACACAATGTATATATTGATGACATTAAACCTTTTATGTTTTCAAAAACAGGTCATCCTTAATTTAAAAGAAGCATTTAAGAGAATAGCTAACTGTATTTTAAAGTTTAAAGCAGCCATGTAAAACAGTATATAAAAAACATTATGCGATGGCATGACTTCTGTCACAAAATTGATGCAATCATTTGTTTCAAAATGCAAACTTATTTCTGGCTTCAACAAAATATGATTTTCAACAAGCATGAAAGTCAAAACACTTTCTTACATATTTTTATTTATTTTCATAAAAATACCAGCATTTTACACAAAAAATATTTCATATTTATTTTCATTTAATCGACAGAAAACTATAAAAAGCTCTATAATGCGTTCAAGACGAAATCTGTGACGGAATACACTTACATGGATCCTACAGACGCAACAAATGTGGCTACTATTGACCATGTCTTCGTGAAGGGACTTTCTATAAATAAATCGAAGGTAAGAGTTAGTCGGACGCAACTTCTAGGACCATTCTGTCATGCTTCGTTTTAAGATATTTGTAATTATCGAGTTGTTCCAAATGCATGTTAATGCCAATGATAGGCAGGGTGTATATTTATTTAAAAGAGCCTTTACTTAATATATAAAACACATGACTTGTCGTTTTGGGCTTTCTTTAGGGATTCTGTTTTACTATATTTTCTCAATTTCATTAATATTATAAAAGATAATATTGATATCTGTATGGTATTTACTTAACTAAGTCATCTTTGATAGTTAACACAGCATAACAAAATATTTATATTTATTTATCATTTGCCTTTCTTATTTCTCTAGTGATGTATTTAAGCCACAATAGCACAATAATAATTGGAAACTTCTTATTAAAACTGCCCTTGTAATGTTTTACAGAGAGTGTTTGTACCTGTGAAGGGGGAAACTTCAATGAGTGATCATGCTGGTGTGCAATCAAAACTGAAATTGAATTGATGATTTCAAAGGAAGACTGCTGTCGAGTTACAGAAATGACAATATTCATTATTCTCCATAAATATTCGATTATTATTTGCTTTGTTTTCAAGAAGCGGTAAAATATGTTACAAATAATGAGGACAAGAATAAAAGGTACAATACATATGTATTCAGTTATCTTTATGTATAGGTGATTGAGACACATGTTAATGTTACTAGTAATATTTGTTAAGCAGTGAGGTGAGACACATGTAATTGAAGTTGATTTTTGCAAAGTCAATGCCACTTAGGTTGATTTAATATTCAAAAATTGTCCCATGCATATCTCACACATGCATGTAGAAAATTTAATGTTAATCAGAAAAATTGTTTACCGCCAAGACACGTAGTGCTCTGCGCATGAACCAGGTCTCTTGGACAAACGAAAAGGTGACTGTTTCTTTAAAATAATATTTGTACGGAGCAAAACTTCAACATGCATTGAAGGATATTTATTTAATGTACACATATTTTCATCATTTTGAGGCTGAGTATTTTATGGGGCAATATGTTGGTTATATAGTGGAACTGACACCTGAGAAGTCATATGACAACTTTCTATCTCAACTGGAGAATGAAAATTGGAAATGTTACTTAGAATATTATTCCTCATCTTCTCATCATTATCTTCAGCTTTTAAGAAAGCATGCACTGTATGTAAAAACAATTACGGCAATTGTTTTATCCATATTCAAAACACCGCACTAAAACGATGCAACCAAGTTGTTTATTCCGAGTGATTTCATGAAATGCCTCTATATTAAAGGGAATAATTTAAACAGTATAATGAACCGATCTGAGGCAAATTAAAGAAATGAATAGATAAAGATGAAGATCTTTTCAAATCATTAAGGCTTAATAAATGAAAAAAATAAGTGATAATGGAGTGACTCACCAATCTTTGAATAAATGATGCAACAAGTTTAAATAAATTAAATGATATATGGTTTGAAAATAATTGCCAAATGTCTTGAACCCCATCATCTTGGAAATAAGTTAAGCTCATCAAGCATTTTAAAACACAGTACAGGATTGGTGGTTTCTAGTATTTATATATTTACATGATATATGAATGTTGAATAAATTGTGTTCAAATGAACAAATGTTTGAAAAACAAAAATGAGACAGTTTTAATTGTATATTTATCGGTGATGAAAGTGATGATAAAATGTAGAGGTTTTAGATGAAGATTTTACTTTTTAATTGCAATATTGAGAAAGTATTTGACTTGTAGTAAACAATATTATAATATGCGATACGATCTTTACATTACGCATGAGAATTACATTGTTCTGCTTATAATTGCTGCTATTTATTACCTTTGACTGAACTTTTGTTTATCACCATTAATAAATATTTTTGCACAATTACAACGCTTCAAGCATAATAAGTACAAGCATGTATATGTATGTAATGGACAGCCCTCTTTAATACGGGATGCATTGTTGTAGTCTTGTGCTACTGTGGTCATGTTATGAAACCGATAAAATAAACTAGGATCGAGTCATATCGGACATAATCCTTTTTACACGTATCAGGTCAGCTCAGACCTTTTTGTATTAAGATTATCAAATGTCTGGTGCTCCAAATATACCTCTTTTGTCTGCACTACGCTGATAAAATGCAAAACAGAGTAATTTTATATAAATAATTACACAGTTATTTTTCATGAAACAATGTATATTTAATATCATTTGAAAGTTCTCTTCAATTCTGGAGGAAATAAAAAGTTAAATTATCATTTACACATAAAAAAAAAATAATTTTCAATTTTTTTCTTGGTAAAGGATAAAACTCTGTATTAGAAAGCTATTGAAAATATAGTTAAAAATAGGCGGGTATTCTTTTTTTAAATCAAAAAATGAAAATCAGCTTATACATTATATTTTCATTATGTTAATTTAAAAAACATTCCAATAATGTAAGAATCTAAAAGAAAATATCCACAAATAACAAAATAGTTTTTGGAATTTAAAAATTGTGCTGCTATATAATGTACATGTATATAAATGTGACTCTTTTTGCCAATTAATAAATCTGCTAAATTCTGGAAGCAGGTGCTCGTGATCCAGTCAACTTGTGTTTTGGAAAAGAAGATCTTTTCAAATAAAATGAATCGTTCTGAGGCTCGTTACAGAAATGAATAAATGGAAATAAAGTTATTTTCAAAACAAAAGAATTTGTCGTTGTTGAGACGAATTCAATTTATAATTGATTTAAAGTCACTTGCCTCAAGATTGTCAAATGAAGTAAACGGTAAATACTGGTCCACTTAGATTTAATGTGTAAATGCAATATTACTAACCTCTTAATTTTGAAAAGGGAATTGACAAAATCGCAATGAATTGTTTTTATTTATCTTTGCATATATACTCTATTACTAAAGCAGTAGCTGATATATACAGTAAAGGAACGAATGCTTATTCAACATTGTCACGTGTTACAATAGTGTTTGAGAAAAAGCTCGTGATGCAGCATACTTATTCTCCGGGATCGTATTTTAATGTTAGTTAATGTGTAGGCTGATATAGCTCTAACCATGTGTCAAGCTGATGTGATTATAATTTATAGTGTCAAAACTTACAACAAAATATCAAAACCAAATAGTTTATTCGTTTCACTCTATATCTGATACGATCACGGACCGCGTGCGTTCCGGTTTACTGTATTCAATATTGTCTTCTGCCAACCCGGATAAAAAGAGAAAAAGGGACATAATAAGCAGAAAAGTTATTTTTCTCTTAATACGGGATTATTTTTCATCTAGTGATATGAAAATTATCATATTGCATTCGTGGCTACCGCCACATATGCAATATTTATTTTCATACCACTCGAACAAAATTTGAATATGGTTGAATATGACTTGCAAAAGATGCAAAGAATACAAAATAGATGTTAAAAATAATCTTGTTGACAAATAAAAAAGGATTTTTTCTGTTGTATTGACTTCAACAAGTTCGATTCAACAAGTTTTGTTTTTTTATATAAAAATAGATAATGCTCCTGAGTATCTGATAGAATGGTTGTCTAAGTTACCAGACCTATGTTATGGTCATCCGATCCGATCATACATCTGTCTAACATTGCCAAAAGGATAGTTCTGAAATAAAATGTAAAGGATAGTTCTCGTGTTATAAAATAAAAAAAGTGCACAGGATAGTTCTTGAATTTTCTAGCAAAATTGGTAAGATATTCAAGTTGTGTTCAACTAAAATTCCTTCAACAAAACATTCTACTCTACATTTAGATCTCATTACTATTTCTAGTTATCGCATGACCGCCACAACTTGCCTTTGAAGATCGGCGTTCTCTAAATTTCAGTATTGGAAAACTTTGGGGTGCTCTAAATGAGGTATCAGTACGCTTTGGGGTGCTCTAAATGAGGTATCAGTACACTTTCTCGCGCATGCCCAGTTTATTATTTTATTTCAAATAATAAAGTGACATACCTGAAAAAGAGCAAAACAAAACATTACACAGTTTACAGACTTTTTAAAAAAAATATTTATATATCATCTCGATCTTCTTTTTTTTCAAAATCTGAAAATGCAGTTATGATAAAGATGTTGACTCCAGTAAAAAGTAATCGCCATATTTATGCATCCTGACCTCAGGACAAATCTGAAACAATGATCAATATATTCATTTTTTTTTACTTTAAACAATGCCTTCGTTTTACAGGAGATTCTGACCAGTAAGCCATTCAGTAAATCACTACACGTATATGAACATAAAGTAGTGTTAAAGGCACATTATGCGTCAGAAATGCTATCATTTTTATTTCTCAAAATTTTAAATATTTGGTGTCTTGTTTCAAGTTCCACAAAAAATACGTATTTGCCATATCAATGAACTATCTTTGCATATTTTGCTTTGCTGGCAATTGGTATAATATAATTATAATGAATTAGTATTTTGTATGGAAGTCAAAATACTATTTGTTTACAATTTGCTATCTTTACGACACATTACTGAATATTCAGCACTACTTTCTTCAGCTGTTAAATATCTTACATGTTCTAAATTCATTATTAAAACATTATTTAACATGTGTTTTACATTTTTAAAGAATTTAATAAAAAAGGATTTCTGAGGCACAATGTGCCTTTAAGTAAAAATCACAACATTGTCGTTAGTTAAAAAAATACGCGTACAAGATATACCTCTGAAATATACACCGGGATACTTATCGACAATATTTCCTAAATTATATTATTTGAAAATGAGCTGGAAAGATGATTATTATTTCGCATTTAGAAAAAATGCATCAACTTACCTCGTGAAATGGTTATTTATGTCCAGTTCCTTCAACGGCATCTAGAGAATGGGTGTATTTCTGTGAGTATTTCTTAAAATATTTATATGTTTAAATAAAGCAAATATTATGAGAGAAGAAAAAAGTCGTGATGGTCATGCGATAAAACAGTTACAGAATAAATACTCGGACTTCACCGGCTGGTATCAGCGCATGGGGCGACAAAAGGGTCAATCATGGAAATTAATCTCGACGTTCCGTCTCGATTAATTTCCTATGATTGACCCTTGTTGTCGCCCCATGCGCTGATACCAGTCGGTAAAGTCCTCGTATATATTCTATAACTATTACTGAACATTATATTTTACACAAGAAATTGATAAGTTATAACTTATGTCCTAGATAACGAGACTATCAATAACGTTCACGTTCCTGTACGTTTACTCATGCACGTGAAAATATCGAAAAATACACAAAGAATCTCGATCTTATCAGGTAACCTCAGTTTAAGATGTTCAGTACGTGGTGAAAATGATAAATGATGTGTTTAATTGATATTATTTTTATAATGTTCATGATTGGTTTTTATTATATATATATTAATCAAGTATTTATATGATGTAATTGCCTACAGACTGCGAAGATATTGGTGTTTCTAAGTTCCTTTTCCGAAACACGACATGTTCATTCAGGAACAAGTACATTTTACAGGATTCCATTTTTCAAGATTGTTGAATCTTAGCTATGATTATTCTGTCAATTGTAACAAAAATACGATTTGTTTGGATAGATTTTCAGTGCTTTTCAGTATTTCCCTGTGTACATGTTTTTTTTATAAATCTTTGGATTTATTACACAAACAAACGTTCTAGTTTATAAACTTCCTTTGCTCAAATTTCGTGTTGCTTAAACTTTATTTGTTGAAGTTATCCTTCAACATTTAGTATATAAATTTCTAACACTCCTCGTGATTTTGTCACAAAAAAGAAAAAACAGGTGTTAAACTGCCAATATACACTGGTTAGGGACTACTTGTATATGCGGCTGTTATGTTTTCTCCCTCGATTATATAGACCTTTTTACAACGCGAACCGTTGTTATGAAAAGTATGACAGGAAGTAGTATTTTACCGCGCATGCGCAAGCTGTGTAGGGCAAAAAGAGCATCGCCCTACATAGAAATGTAATAGAAATTACGAGTACGTTTAAGGTTGAAAATCATATAATAGAAACACAAAAGATACCTTTATAGCTTTGTGGCCAAGATTGTCATAAACAGGCATGGAGAAGACATTGTTTAAGAATTCCTCTTAACGATCACGGCCCTGACATTGAGATAATTGTTGTGGAAATATATATATATATATAAGCAAATAAAGAAGTCAGTTTAATTGTTGTTGAAATCCTCCATATAAAAAGCCAAAGAAATTTTATAATATTATATATAAAATCGAGGTTAATTATCATTCTGAAAATAAGTCAGAACACATGATAATGCATTTTTAGTTTTCAGATTACCTAATTTTATCCTTTATCCGATTTGACTGTGATGCCAAGCAAAATTGTTTTAGGTCACATAAAAATATTTAAATAATTTTTCAAACTCTTGAGAAGTTAAGATGGGTGGTGAAATAACACACATTTTATCCGGTTCCTCGTAACACATGAAAATGCACGTCACGTACACTGTTTCTCATTTCACAAAATTAATAAACATTGATATGATTGGTATAAATATAAGTAACTTAAATTACGATTTTCATAATATTAAGTGATTAACTATGTCTATAACTATAACGTCCCGGTTGAATGATATTTTAAATTACCTGGCAAATAACAACCGGTCACGTGCCAATCTATTTGACACTTACTGCCTTGCCAAACCACAAAGGAATACCAATTGTGTAATATTATGTAATACAATACATTGGTAATAAAATTTATTTTTGACACCCTGCTGTTTCAGTTTAAATTACTAATGAAAAAGTCGTTTAATAATACCTTGAACAGATAAATTGGGCAATGATGTAAACACAATACAATCCATTCTAAGACGTAAGTTTTTATTTTTGAAAACATGATAAAGTTACTTTTTTATTATTATTTCCTTTGTTTAATAAAATTTTTATCTTAGCAACAGTAGGGTGAGAAAACGAACAGCGTTATACTAAAATCGGCACCGGATGTAATTTCGCTTGAAAAATAATAAAATTAATGATCTTCCTTATTTAATCTTGTTAAAGTCGAAATAATATCGGTCTGAGCGGTGTTTTTCGGCTATTTAACACCGGTTTTGTCGTTTTGATGCTTAAGAAATAGCATCAGCCTGAGAGGAGTATATCGGCTATTTAACACCGGTTTGGAGTTTTGATGCGTATGAATCGACCACGAAGGCCGTAGGCCTGGTAGGTTAATTTTTTTCGCATCAAAACAACAAAACCGGTGTTAAATAGCCGATATACACCTCTCAGGCCGATGTTATTTCGATTCTAGCACGATAAAATAAGGAATATCCCTTATGTTATTTTTCAAGCGGAAATAACTTCCGGTGCCGATTTTCGTATAACTCTGTTCGAGTTTCGCACCCTGCTGTTGCGAAGATTTAAAAATTATTAAGCAATAGAAATAATAAGAAAAAAACGTTTTTTATCAAGTTTTCAACAATAAAAACTTACGTCGTATTGTGTTTACATCAGTGCCCTATTTATCATTCTTGTATATATGAAATAACGTCAGCTTGTTTATGAATGAAATGTTAACTTATGATGACGTCATTACGCTGTTTACGGATTGGCGCCGTTTTGTCAAAATATCTATTAACTGATATGAATCAAATATGTGGCGTTAGTGTATGTTAGATATTATTTCGGTATTGTATGAAAAGAAAACATTATAATAACTAAAAATATAAATAAAAATGCTTTTTATTGTTGCATTATAAGCCCTTGTAAACTATAAAACAAAACAGCCGCATATACAAGTAGTCCCTAACCAGTGTTTATCGGTAGTTTAATACCGGTTTTTTCATTCACAAACACTTGGAGTGTTAGAATAAAAAAAATAACCACTCAGGCCTACGCCCTACCTGGTTAATTTCTACACATCAAAACTCCAAACCGGTGTAAAATAGCCGATAGATACCGCTTAGACAGATATTATTTCTTAAATTAACAATTTACATTAAGAGTAAAAATGAACTGCAACGAAATTATTGATATATTTGTATGTGAAGTTAAAATGTGATTTCAGACCCCAAACTCAATCCCATCTGTTCAACCCTTTTAGTCTAACTTAGAATAAGATTACTTTTGATAGCCGAGATGTTCTGATTGTCCCACACTTTCAGACATTTAAGTAGTTGGTGGAGTTATAAACTACTTTTAGGTCTATCTGAAGTTATACAAACTTTTTTCGTTTTTGAAACCAGGGCCGATTAATAAAGTGTTATAAGTAGATATATTTTCACCATATCTGTTTGCATTAAATTTAAGATAAAAAGTTTTGAAGTAGTTTGTTGATTTTATACTATCCATTATCTTTTTAAATCTATTTGCAATATTTTTTATGTGGTGTTTTTAATATTTCTCCCAAAATTGATCAAACGTAAACAGATCAAACGTAAAAAGAAGTAATTGGGACACATTAATAAATACTGTAAAATTGAAGTTGTCATACTTTGAAGGAACATCAATATCAATATACTTATATTTTAATTTTTTACAAAATGTTGTTTGTTTTTCTTGGCTGCAAGAAATCATTGTGTCATTTTTATGCAAGCATTGCTAACATTTTTAAATAAATTATATTGAAAACTTAGACATAACGTTTGCAAGCTAACCAGTTTTACTTTTGCTTCTTGTTTCAAATATCAGTGATGATATCGTACGCTTTTTTGCTGAAAAAGCGAAAGTTAAAATTGAAACGTTTTAACATATAAAATAGAGTTTATCTCTATGAAGATATCCTGATCAGCAAATTACGCAGTTTATTCTAAACTATCAAAATGTATGACTGTCGTATCAATCACTTAAATGTAGTATATTGTAAAACTGATTTATCTGCGTTTATTCGGGTACTTATGGATCACTTGAAATGACACTGCTTAGCAATAAAAGTATAACTTACATCAATACTATTTATTACAAGCATGCATTATATATTTTTCATGAATATTTCTTTTACCTGATTGATTTAAACTCCGTGTAAGTCTTATCTGAGACGAATGACCTATTTCAAACTCCACCCTTTATCAGTCCGGCATTTATTTTCTCACTCTCATATCTTACATAAACAGACTTAGTTGAACAGTCCAAATATTTTATTAGTTTTGGAAAGGTCATTGATCTGATCTAAAGACAAAATATGGATTTTAGGACAACAAATACTATGTACTTAATTATTGCATGATGAATACAGAGTAAGTGGTTGATTTTTTGGCTTTTAGAAATTAAAACCTATACTGGAACGTTTTTGTATATATCAACGTTCACTTATACTTTAAAATTATGATGAATACCGTTCGAAATACAAAATTGTATAAAAACCTGTATCTATATGTTGTATTGTATGTTACATATCAAGAAAAACTTATAATTATCCTAAATAGAGTTAAGGATCGATCAGACCAAAACACTCTTACTATTATCGTTTAAGATAAAGATTTTTGATATATTTCAGCATTTGTTTGCTTTAAAACGAAATTAATTTTTTTATCGGAATCCTAACATTTATAAGTAGACTGCATTTGTTGTTTTCAGGATTATACTGACTATTATCGTAGTTGTGCAAGCTCCAACTTTGTCGCAGCCGTGTGATTCAACCTACGAAAAATGGCAACCATCATGGATACCAAAACCAAGAAATGATCTACTGTGTCAATTTGAATGCACACGTTCGACACCTACGATAATTGCAAAGAAAGGATCTGATAACTGTTGCCCGTGTCATTCTTGTGCAATATGGGAAGGAACGGAAAAGCAGCTGTTTATAGAGTATGTATCAGTGCTAGGCACAAGTTTAGTTTTGTCCAAACAAATAGAAAAAACTCCGGATCATGGTGTGTATGAAATAAAACACAGACACTCTAAAATGACAGAATTGCCAAGTAATATTTGCAACTGGAACACTAACATAACGATCAAAGGAAGATTTTCTGAAGAATTCGAGGGTTTAAAAGCTATTTGGGGAAGCATTGTAAAAATAGATTTCAGCTATAACAAAATAGAAAGACTTATAGATTTTAGTTGCCTCAAAAGACTGGATGAACTTAAGATAAGTAATAATAAGTTAACCTATGTATCTAACTCGTCATTTACAACTCTTTCTAATTTAAGATTTGTTGACTTCTCATTCAACAAAATACATAGATTAGATCCTGGTGTTCTTACCGCCAGAAATTTGTATTTGTTTCGTGCTGACTTCAGTCATAACAATATTAAAGCACTAGACGTCTCTAACACACTTACTTTATATCCATTTTGTTACATCAGTTTCCGCTTAAACAACATGACAAAGCTAGTCAATGAGTTAAACTTTGCATTAAATATGACGAAAGTATACGGTCCAGGGAGAATGGATTTTGCAGAAAACAGATTCACCGCTTTTCCAGATTTTAAAACTTTGTACCATCTAGACGAGTATGCACAATTAGGACATTTCCTTCGAGTCCAGTATGATTTACATAAAATTCCTATTACATGTGATTGCAAGGTCGAAAAATACATGACGTTAGCTTACGATCTCAGAAATAGCCTATGGCCAGGATTTATGGCTTTACCGTGTGCTGGACCTGACGATCTTAGGGGCAAAATCATTGTTGATGTAAATCCGGAAAGATTTATCTGTAATATATCTGCTGATTTTGGCTGTCAGACGCCGCAGTGTAACTGTACTGACAAACCACATAGTAATACTTTGTTTGTGAACTGTACATATGATAAAGGCCGAAAATTTGGTTCTATACCAACACTTCCAAAGTCTAATTATTCTGAATATATTTCATTGGATTTTTCTGGGCACAACATAAGAAGTATCTCAGATTTAAAGCATTTGTCTAATATAACAATGTTAAACGTATCAAATAATAATATTCTAGAAATAGATAATGATACTGCAAAAGCTCTTGAAAACGCAACGTTAGACATATCAAATAATCCAAATCTTAGATACCTACCTAATGTTTTCCTCGCCTACCGTAATGTATGTTCAACAATAATGACAGGCCTCACAATATCTTGCGATTGTGACTCACGATGGATTGAAGAATGGTTACATGCTAAAAAATGCTTAAACGAGCAGTACCTGTTTGACTGCGTATTACCAAATGGAGAGATAAAACCTGCTTTGTTGTTTCGGGCAAATGATATTGATTGTTTTTACGATCATTTTTCTTTCATGGACACTCTTAACAGGATTGTTGTGGGTACAACGTTTTCCCTTATTGTTTTTGGAATATTCGCATACATATTCCGATATGAGTTACTAATTATATGTGTGCGTTTGAAACAAAGCAAAAGAGCCGAGATATTGCCACGGTATAAATATGACGTTTTCATATCCCTCGATACAACTAATGAGAGTGTGACGAACTGGGTTTTTGACAAACTGAAAAACAGTCTTATAGTCGCTGGATATAAAATATTTATACCAGAACAAGACGTCACATTCGGAACTGAAAGAAATTCTGAAGTCATAAAAGCAATTAATGAATCATGCAATTTTCTTATTGTCCTCTCTGAATTCTATGTACATGAACAAGATGACGGCATGCGACCATGGACAGAAAACGAATGGAAATTTTGTTGGCACAACTACAAAAGGGACAGAAATAAAAACATAATTGTTGTAAATTTTGACCATTTGTCTTCATTTGACGTTGACCATCTACAAATAAAAGCATTCCTCCGTGTTGGATGCACAGTTGATTTCAAAAATCAGAACAGAGACATTATGGAAACTATTTACAAAATATTAGGAAAGCCATTTGATTTAAATCTAATTAATAACCAATGTTCTGAGAATAGAAACCGTAGATATAGGCATATTGAATTACCTGTTCCATCTACAGATACATGTTCTGAAGCACAGAAGGAAACACAAGTAAGGGATTCCACAACACCGGAACATATAACTGAAAACGTGCATTTCAATGAAAGTGTTACTGAAGAATTGAAACAGACCCCTCATATCCCGTTATTTAAAAGAAACAATTATGACGAGAACGACAATTCTCAAGAGTCTGATGTGTATATAGTAAGCCGTGAAGGATCGAGGGTGTTTCAGGATAGCCTTATATTTGTACTGGCAGATAAAGATGACAAAAGTAATTCCAGGCAATTCTCCAAGGTATTTCCCTCACTGGATGATGATATAAATGACTCTTTTTTATCTTCCAGGAATGATTTTATTTCAGATACGAGCAGTTTTGGAAGCTCTTCCAGTATGATGACAGCAAAAACTGATATTTCAACAACTACTTTAACGTCAGACAATATGACGGAAATAAGCTCGGTTTAGGATAACATTGAAACATTTGGGTATCATATATAATTTGATGTCAATCTCAGATTGAGCGATGATTTACCATTTTATCATTGTCTTATTTTTGTCAATGAAAGATTCAATTTTAAGATTATATCTTATGATTTTATAAATCTTGATAGATAATAAATATGCATATAAAATAGGGTTTTATTCTTAAGTCAGTGCTAGGAGGAGTGAACGGTAGCTTGCAATGACCACTACCGTCAACGACTTAATCAAACCGAGCTTTTTACATTTTTTTTCTTTTTTGTTGTTCGTTTCCTCTCTTTTTTACAATATGCAAATATGTACTTACTGAAAGTGTGATTGATAGTATTATCCTTTTATCATTTTTGTATATATTTTTGCAGATGAGTTGTTTTGGGTTTTCTTTTTCATATATCAGCATTATCCTTACATATATTTTGTATTTGATCAAATATTTTAATCGGAATGCATAGATAAATTTGAGAAAACCTTCTGTATTTCTACCTGTTTTAGCGGTTAGAAGAATAGGTCAATGGGATCAATATGTTATCTGTGTTCAAGTGTTCAATGATTCGTTTATTAGTGATAAACTTTCAACTTGTGATAAAAGTGGGTCCTGATTTGGCGAACAAGTAATGTAAGACCATTTTAAGTTTCTTTATATAATGATATAATTTGACTTAACCTGCCTGACATGAGAAAATAAAAGTTTGAAATAAATTGATAATGGAATATCATTTATGTATTCTTTTGTTAGTATTGTAAAGAAAAATAAAGTGAATACATCATCCATGTGTACGTAATTCTTATTCATTAAAACCTTTTTGAAATACATTTTTTCTCTGATTTTCATGCGATAGATTCTTTGAGAAAATTATGCAGCAGGCTTCTGGGTAGCTTGAAAACCATGGTCGTAAGATAATTCTAATGAGTTTCAAAAATAGTCTGAAATTGTCGTGGTAACGCGCTGGATTAGTAATGTAGGCTTGCAGGCTCGATCCTCCGCTTCATCACTAACAGTTATAATGGTCTTTGGACAGTAAAAAGGCGAGGACCAACGACTTAGAGCATGCAATAGAATCAAGGCCGCCATTGATAATGCTATACACGAAACGAACGACTAATCAGGGGCGTCGAAGATATGGGCAACCGAAATGTGACTGTAAATAACCTGAAAATGACACATTTGTTGACCATACATTCTGAAGTAACACTGACAATTGCTTCACCAATACATGCCTGATGTGCCATTTTGCTTTACTGGTGCTTTAAAACATACAAGGATATGTTTAATTAAAAAGTAATTATAGTTACTGTAGTTAGATTGATTGTTTAAATATTTGACAATATTAAAGCTACAGTCTCACTTACATCCCGGCAGAGCCCCGGTAGACGTCCGGGGTGATCCGGGAACGATCGGGGTACGACCGGGAACAACCGGGGTACATCCGTAACTCTGCCGGCAACGTCCTGGATGATCCGGGAACATCCGGCATTCGACCCCGGATGGAATAAAATATTTAATATCACCGGGGTGGTCCGGGATGATCCGGGAAGGTATAGCTTTGCCGGCGTCATCCTTAGCTCTGCCGGGAACGACCGGTGTTATACCGGGAAAGCACCGTAGCTCTGCCGGCACAAACCGGGGATGATCAGGGGTATGATATAGCCAGTAGAGCTACGGTAGAGTTACGGTAGAGCCCCGGTATATACCGACAGAGCCCCGGTAACTATAGGCAGAGTCCCGGAGGATAAAGGTTGAGCTACGGTTGATCCCGGTAGAGCCCCGGCAAAGCCCCGGTTCATTTCAAAAGAATAACGACAATTTGCGATGATTGCTTTTGTTCTTATTAAAAGCCTTCCCATTTCCCTTCTATCCAGTATGGCATAAGGATTTTTCAGAAAATCATCATGAATTACTATTCTGGAACAATAGATATTATATTAAATAAAAATTATGTATCAATGTTATCATTTTCGGGCGTTTTCAATCCACCGGGGTTCTACCGGGGCTCTTCCTGGATCGTCCTGGGCTCTGCCGGGGCTCTGCCTGGATCGACCGGGGCTCTGCCTGGGTCAACCGGGGCTCTTCCGGCGTCATCCGGGAATGACAGGGGAAGCATCGGCATGATCCGTAGCTTCACCTGGGCTCTGCCTGGATGATCCGGAGCGCATCCTGGGTGGTTAGTAGGGAACTACCATAGTGCTGCCGGGGTAAGTGTGACCGCAACAATAATTTCATCCCGGATCGTCCCGGATCATCCCGGTAACTTACCGGGATGGTCCTGGGCTCTGTCGGGAGTAAGTGAGACCGAGGCTTTAAGCATTCAAACATAGGTTGTTGCACATTCGGAAATATGTTTGAACAAAAAATCTAAACGTTGTTAGATTGAAATGTGTTTTGAATTCATTGATCTGTATTTAATATCAAAATGACAGGATATGAAATGAAAGATATAGTTTTCAGTTATGTATGCAAGATGAGTGTAATAGATATGTGTAAGGATATAAACGCTTCGAAAGGGATACCAAATTAAAGATCAACTATTACCATAAAAATGTAGACTAACAAGTGAAAGCTTTGTATTAGAGCTAGATCACGTTAATCAATAGTTCATCTCAAAATAGAAAATTTATTTATCTGCTCAGATTTCATATACATATACATGTATATCAAATGCATTAAGGCGAAATGAAAACTGTATAACAGAATTTATTTAAACTTAGCATAATATAAAAAATATGATAACAACAACATTTAATTCGAAAGATTTGGGTCACCGAGCTCTTTAGCGATATCTGCCTATTTTTTTTTTCAAGTCATGTCAATTACAAATAACTAAATTAATACAGTACTGTGAAAACGTTGAATTTTCTATTAACTTATGTTGTTGTTTTTTTTTCATTTTATCCTTTAATTTTGTCATAATCCATTATATACAATAAATCCATTAACCATTGTGATTCCTTCTTTTCGTGATATTTTGCACAATCATTCCAAAGGAATACGACTATATGAAAGGCAGAAAATATGTTGACCTTACTGACCTTTAATGTGAATTGTCTGCCCTTGAATAAAGCAAATTATTTTACAATTCGAGACCAGATAACTCGAAAACATAATCTCTATTCTTTCCTTTTACAATGTTTCTGTAATATTCTAAGATTGTGCAAAGTTTTGCACAGTTTTTATTCCTTCCACCTGTATATCAATTAGAAAATGCAAACGCATATTGTTTAAACATATATTATTTGAGAACAAATACAATACAAGATATAAACATATATTCAACTTCATACATTTTGGAGACGAATTCATATCTTAAAAAGCTCTGATCAAAAAGCATGAGACTTTTTCAATATTTTTGTGCTATAATGGATAGTTATTCATGAAAACGACAACATATTATACTTGAGTCAAATGATCAACGCTGGTTTAACCCATTACCCGATATACACGCCTTTTAACGCCTTATTTACCCCCCCCCCCCCCCCCCCCCTTTTTGTTGTCTCAAATGGTAAAAAAAGCCTTATTTAGGCCACAACACTTTTTTTTGAAAATTGTTGTTTAAAAAGGTTATCACTTTTTTCGGCGCCGCCCCCTATCCAAAAGATACATCAGGGGGTTGCCAGAAGGGGGATATGCCTCAATCCATTGAGAAGTTGCAACACTTTGAAATCAATTTTGATGGAAAAAATCAACGCAAAATAGTTTTTTTTTTTTTTTTTGGCAATTTTGAGATATCACCTCACTGCCATGGTAACAGGAAATTTAAGACTGAGCATGTCGTTACAAAGGCAATGGTCCAGTCAACATTTGTGCCAAGTTTGATTAGTATTGAAGCAGTTTTTATAGTTTAATAGCAATTTGAACTTGTGACTGACGGGAGAGTTTTCAATGAAAACAGCCATTTTTCACAAAATGCTCATGCATTAATGGGTTAAAATATAAAGAAGCTGAAGCAAACAAACAGTATTCCGGTTGTTGCAAGGAACATGTTTACATGCCTAGCTGGTTGAGTGGTTATATTTTACTAAGATAAGAGTGATTAGTAAAAATCGATCATCAAAGGTTTATTAGTTTAGCTATAAAATTTGAATAGAATGACAGACCTATCTAAGGCTTGTATTGATTAATGATACATTTAAATTTTGAGTGGTTAAGATTATTTGAAGGTTTTATAGATTTTACAATGATTAATTAAATGACCTACTGGTATTCTTTGTTTTCTTACTTTTTGATATAAGGCGGATTTTTTGTAAGCATCATCATGTGTGACCTTGATAAATCAATGTCCTCTTTGCATACACGGCCAAGAAATCACATTTCCTTGTCATAATTATTATTTATATTATTCTGTTGCATCACGTGTCACTTAACTAAGATTGCTGATTGATAAACTCGCGGAATTCTCCTCTTAAAAATTTATCTTTTTTTATCAAATCACATGAGAATTTGTATAGGTCTAAAATATTCTATTTACATTTTCATTATCAGGTAGGGTGGGGGTAGATAAACACTTGAAAAGAATAAGTTGTATCCATAGCAACCACTGTTTGATGACTTGAAGCAATCTGATATTTCACATATTCTGACATAACTAACAATATAAAATTACTAGACTAAAATAAATAGTTTAATTCAATTCTTAAATGATTTATTTTCTAGTTTGTTTGTTACAAACTTACAAATTATAACTCTTGACACATATAAAGACGTGACACACTCGTCCATAATTCACCGTGCATATCCAGTAACGAAGGTAATCGTAAAAGTAACGCCGAATCTGTGCAACGCTATTGCCACAACGAATAACACAGTAAGCAAACAAACCAAAAATCTTTATTCAAAATTGAATTAAAAGAAATGAATTAGCGCATAAGACTGATACGACATTAAACTTTGCCAGCATTACAATTTTTTTCAGGATTGTGTTCACTTCTTTAGATCATTCGTGAGAAAGACAACCTAATTACCGTTTTGAAGGTGACTCTTGTGTTTCGTCAAATAAATATGTACATTTAACATATCTAAAACTTTATTTTTTCATATTCTGTTTACCTAAGGCATTTGTCAAACTACAAGTGTCGTACAACAAAAGAGGCAAGCTGATAAAATAGGAGTTAGCTACTTTTAATGAGATAACCACCGTTGCTTCAGTGATTCATTCACGAATTCGGCGTTACCTTGTAAAAATGGTCTTTATTACGTTCTATCTGCTAAATTAAGCGTAATATAACACGAGTAGATTGAAAAATGTCTCAGGAATACCGAATATAAAAATTATAAAGTAATATGTAAGTTAATTACTGCATTAAAAGATAGTAACGAAACTTAAAATCGCCATCAATATTCCACTCAGGTCGTCATTTTCACGGATGATCTTAAAAAATAAAAATTTTCATGGAAAGCATCATCAAAATGTCATACAGGTGTTCACTATCACAGGCACTATTATTAGTTATGTCATTGTTTTCTGAAATTTCTTCCGTTGTTTCGTCATAAAAATTATTCAGAGAATTCATAGTTGGCTGATTGGGTGCACTAAATTGCACAATTCTGCGTTACGTTTGCACAATTTCTGCGTTATTTGCACATTCCTGCGTTACTGCATATACACGGTGTAATAGTTTTTTAATGCATTTAACCCTAAAAATGCTAAATATTTTTAAAAAAAAAACGTATACCTCTTTCAATTTGGACGTATCAATGTTCATCAATATTAATCATTCATCAATTTGAGGGGAAATTTTAGAACAATGACTGATCGGAGAACTCAGACGATGATTTTTGACGCCTGGTCTTGGAATGCACTGTTTGCACTGGTAGATGCAGACGCCTACTAGAAGGCTAAGGGTTGCCTGACAATGATATGACATTTTATTCAAATTCAAAATTAAGATTTAAAATTAATCATGTTATCATTTAACAGTTCTAAAACAAAGGAATGTTTAAGAAATACATATATTATATATGGTATTCGGTATCATTATTATATTTGCGTGACTTCTCTCAAAGACTCCATAAAAAATGGATGTGGAACTTCAATATTTAGATTGAATTGATCTCAAGGGATCTCCTTGACCTATTTTTAAAGATAATAAAATACAAGATGAGTAATTTGGTAAACTTGAGGTGACTTGTTAAAGCTTACAATATCGGACAGGATGTTTCACAATTGAAATCAAAGCTCTGAAATGATAAAATGAACAAATTTCAGTCAGTGACGCTCTGAGTAAATAATGTTTCCATAGCTTATCTTTTAGTGGTGTTATCAGTTGATAAGCTTATCATGATCTTCACCTGTTTTATATAAGATATAATCAGTTTTTAGAAACTTGGAAGTAAACGCGAGATTTGAATTCAAACATTTTAATCGAAGCTCTACGTCGAAACATGCCCTTCAAAACTTTAAAATTAGACTTCCTATTCCCCATTCTTGGCTTGGTTATATATAATGAAAAGAAGATAACGATATTTTGGTTTGTCGTTGGACTTGCATGTTATCATTCGTATTATTTATTTATTTTATTTATTTATTTATTTATTTATTTATTTATTTATTTATTTATTTAAATAACTGTATTTATTTATTTATCTGCTTACCTACTAGTTTACATACTTTACTTTTAGGATTTCAGGACAGATCATGTTTCGATAGTTTTCAAACGTCAAAGGCATTTGATAGCTTAAATTATAGTAGTCTAGTCAGATGATATACTAGAATGAGTAAATTTCGTCTTCAAATTTTGATATTTTTCTGAAAATCATTTGACCTTACACTGGATTAAACTGACAGATAATCATGAGATTGGTTTGGGAAGCCGGATTGTAAATGTTGGCTAGTTAAGTCTACAACTTGAATAATGAATTAACTTCACTTGGACAAAATGCACTCTTTCCAAAACACTTCAATGCATATCTTTTAAATATGGACGACATTAAACAGATAAATTTTGATTAATTACATTAAATATAGAAATAGAGTAGTCCCGATACAAGTAATGTAACTAAAAAGTGATAAATACAAGTTAAAACTAAATTAAGAACTTCGGGTGTTAGCCAGTTGAGCTTTTAAAAAAAGGAACTTTAAATTTTAAGTATGTTTTCATCTTTTATTTAAGGTAGTATACCCCTAATGCATAGCCTCCGCATTGAAGAGTTTCCAAATAGGCTAGGCTAAAATTACTGTCAACTGTTTATGGTGAATTAGACATAATGTCATTAGTCTTACAAGTGAAAGCAAAAGTTTTGTGTTTCAGGAGTAAAATATTAATGCTAGAGAAAAAAAGATACCATGTAATATAAATATCTGTATAAAACAATGTTGTCTTTGTCCTCTTGGAATATTGTTAATTCTAAATGGATATTTTTTTAAAAGAAACGCTCAGTAATCTTGGTATGTCAGAATATTTTCATTTACAGAAAGTATATTATATTAATCAGTTTAAAACTATTGTGAAGCTTACACTACATGATCATTTGGTACAAGATTAGCATAGTATTATTGATACATCTTCTAATTGCTTAGTGTCTCGTACATATAAAAATACTCGTTGTTTTGAAAATATCTAGATGTACTTCCATTTGACATAGGCAAATATTGTAAATTTAGAACAATGAATCACTTATTACCTATTGAAAAAAGGCAGACATTTGACAATTGATCATAATAATAGGCTCTGTTCCTTATGTCCGTATCAAGCTATTGGTAATGAATTTCACTACTTATTTGTATGTTCGTACATTAATGACATAAGACTTTAATCTCTTTTCCCAGTTCTTATATTCATCCCAATATTTTTAAACTTGATCGACAGATTGATGAATAGTTGTGATAAAAAATCTGCTAAAATTATCTTTATTTTGTAAAAACATTATTTTCAAATTTAGATAATTAATACTTCTTATTCTCCGATTCCATTTGTTACAATGTAAAATACAAGTTGTATTGAATTCAGTAGTTGAAATGAACAATATGATCTCCTTTCTTGTTTTCTTAGCTAGTCATAGTCAGTCATAATTATATTCTTTTATTGTGATATTAGTGATTTTTTACTGTTATTTTTCTGTTCGTATGTTTGTTATAAGCAGATGCATAGCATATGCCTTGGTTTGATAAAAGCTGAAACTGCATTGAAACTGAGTGGCGTGGGTTCAAACCCCAGAAGGGGTAACATTTTTTCTTTCTTTTTTTCTTTTTAACAATATTTATGACAATGTGACAATGTGTTTATTCGTAATATAAGGCCTATGTATCTCTCAGACCTTTAATGGAAAGAAAAAAGTGTCTGATTTCTATTATAGAATTGTTATTTATTGGTATTTATTGGCTAAATAATGCCAACTTTAATTGGAAATATGATACCAGATATTTTCAAAGTCTAATAAAGTAAAAATTACACGGTAAAATTATTTTATAGTTCTCAAGATCAACCAATAATCTTTTTTGTAATTGAGGCAAACTTTGAAAACAGTCCCTCATTGTGGTAAAATTTAGGGATATTTTGAATAAGGCTTTTTAAATAGGGAAATGGTCAAATTATTGTTTAAAATGGGTGGAGTAGGGTAACATTTTTATAAATATTAAAAAAAAAAAACAACATTTTGTTTATAAAGAATCATTTTGCTTGTGTGATTTGTTATCTGACTGCTATTATTTGTTCCTTAACAATGATTAGTAGAAAAAAAAATGTTTCATAATGATGACATTATTAGTTAATTAGAGTTTCCTCATTTCTGAAAGAGCCGTTCTAATAGCCAATTTTTAGCTCAGAAAAATGCCAATAACTCATGAACCATACAGTAAATTTTGTTTAAATTTTGCATACAGATATCTTTTAATGCATTTAACTGTCCAATGATGTCAATTTTACAGTTCCTTATAGTGCCCATTACTGGTATACTAACTTAAGAACGATTTCTTTTCACAAAATAAATATCAGGAATTCAGATCAATTGATTTTTTACTAAGAATCATAAAGTGTTAAATGATAGAAAAAAACTGCATCTTTGAATAAACTTGAACACATTACAGTGTACAAAGGAAATTTAAAAACTATGTAGAATCTATATACATGGATACTGCATTATCTCTAATCTCTTTTTTTCAGTTCCTAATAAAAAATTATATTATATTTAATATATTGTAAATATGTATTATATTTTTGTACAAAAATTATTCCTATTGTAATATTCTATTATACTTTAACATTTATCTGTTTGAATATTTATATTAAAAATATTTATAAATAAATATGAAAATATTTAGTGGTGTTCAATCTTAACATATACGGATCCGTACGGGAATGTAAATACTGGAATTTAGACAATCTCAAAGAAAAAGTGACAATTTGTTGCAAAATGTCGTTACCACCGCTTCCACCACAATTAAAAGCAATCCAGCACTATTTAAAGACTGCTACGGAACATGATAAAAGAGATCCAGTGGTAGCGTATTACTGTAAGTTTCATTTCCCTAAAGTATTGGCTACATTTTATAAAGACTAAACTTATTCGGATAAACTAAATTTCGGATACAATGTGAGAATTAGTCATAATTTATCTTAATCACCTTAACAAAATTAGCTTTTAGATATACAGCATTTTAGTTCGAACTTAGAATTCGAACTGGACTTATTCCTGTTTTTAAGGGCAATCTGGATAAGAACCATATAAGGCTATTTATGTTTTAGAAGTTAAACTTGTTAAAAATTTTCAAAAAAGTGTCCGTTTAAGCAAACAGCACGTTTCGGCCCCAACATGATCCATCATAGCCTGGAATCATCCTGCAGGTATTCTTGGTATTTTGGCCAAATTCAGCACAAATTCTGTTTACTTTACGTTCTTAATATAATGGTTGTATGGGATGCATTATACGAATTAGTAACGATTCGCCACACTAACGATTTGCCACATAACGATTCGCCACAGAGTAATAACGATTCGCCACAGTTAAATAACGATTCGCCACAGTATGATTATAACGATGATTTTTTTAGTAATCAACAAACTTTTTCCTTTTGTTTTAATAATTTGACAATGACAATAATTTAATAATGTTTCTTAATACAAGTAATATGAAGTTAAGGCCCCCATCGAGGATTTTCAATTTATCAAAGTAACATTATTACAGGAGTACATTAACAAGAAAGTAATTATATGTTGAAATAATTATTGAATTACTCATAAACATAATTATATGTCAATTAATATTTATATATAAATATATAGTTCATATATTATAATATATGTCAAATATTTAAACAAAGTATGGTACCACAAAGTATTGCAAAAACAAGTGTTCATACGAAAATTGATTTACGATAATTGATTAAAAAACATATGTAAAACATTTGTCACACCTTTAATTTAAACAAGCCAATCACCTTAGGATTGTTGTAGAAATATTTAAATGACGCCGAAATAATCCTTTAATTATCTGACAATGTATTCAGATTTCAAAACAATGCGGCAATTAAGCTTATGTTTGTTTACAAATTAATTCGAGCGAGCCGATGTATGCCGATTAAGAGGGTTTAAATAGTAATTTTGTTAATAAAATATTTGGTTTTCGTGTGTTTTTATTCAATAAATTGTGTATTTAGTGTTATTAATTTATGTAATTAACAAATGAAATATAAAATGGAAAAAAGTTTTCCATCAACAGTTTGAAAACAGATGTGAAAAAAATTTGTATTTGAACACGTGGCGAATCGTTATTTAACTGTGGCGAATCGTTATTACTCTGTGTCGAATCGTTATGTGGCGAATCGTTAGTGTGGCGAATCGTTACATTACCCATTATACCTGTATGTGCATTTATAAATGAATTGAATTAAATTTCTGTCAAAATTTATCCTGATGAAGACCTCACGGTAGGTCGAAACCGGTAGATAATAAAATAAGATAAACATCTCTGGTGTTGATGTGTAATTTTCTTCTTACTTATCCTTTCTTAAATTGGTGTTGTTCAGTGATATTTCTCACTTAATTGGGAAGAGTCCATGAGTGAAGTTAGCCTCTTGATTTCGGGTCAATTTATCACTAAAATTTCTGATTTGGGAAGTAAAAAGCTGGTTAAAGTTAAGATTTTTTGGGAAAACTGCAGGATTTTTAAGAAAATTTAGATTTCGGAAGAGCTTTTTTTAGTCTATTATATAAGTAGGAAAATCACTGTAATGTTGTAGGAAATCCCTTTTTACTTGAAATTCATATTCTTGCCTTAAAAGTCCAAACATTATGATAGAATTTATAAATATGTTTTCTTTAAAATAAAAACTTTCAGGTAGATTATTTGCACTTCAAAATGGAATGGAGATTGACAAGAAATCACCAGAATGCCGAGCTTTTCATGTTGCTTTGATGGACTATCTGGAAAAGGTTAAGAATTTTTATTCTATGATCTAAAAAAAACCTTACCATTTTAGCTTTTCTGTTTCGATGAAAAAAGTCAAGCTATTATGAACATTTATTGTCATCGTTGTGTATTAATGTTGGGACTTATTTTTTTTTTTTTTTTTTTTTTATTTTTTTTTTTTTTGAGGCCCCAACTGAGTAACCCCGTTTATTTACCCCGTAATAGGTATGAGAGGGTCGGGGTCATCCCTCTGATACCTTACATGATATATACATAATATTTAAATCATCATCTATAATAATATTTTTTATATAATTATAATATACATTATATTCAAACATTCAATCAATTTTCATATAATATGTATAACAATTATGTATGATAATGTATTATGCAACAGCTTCAAAACAAACAAAGAATATTGGTTTGGGGTAAATTGATTTAGTGTAGCCTTTTAGTTTATTAAAGTTCTTACAATTTGCCATCCTTCATTTACATGTTTGGTCAAATTTGTATTTTTGTAAATATTCCACGCCAATTTAAGACTATTTCTAAAAACCAGGTATTGTAGGTAACACGATTTTTCTCTTTGACAAATAAATATATTCTTTTCAATTCTAAAAACAAAATATCATATTTAAAATCATTAACTTCAGAACCTAAAATAAATGATTTACAATTAAAATTATCATCCAAATTATCTATCTTGTCTTTCAGATATTGAAATAACAATTGAATTTTTGGACATTCCCAAAATAAATGCAACAGAGTTTCCTCTTGGCAATTGCAAAAAAGTACACATTTACTATTGACAATTTTCATTTTTGAATAAAAGTGAGTTTGTTGCTAAAGTTCTATGAATTATTCTTGTCTGAAACCACTGAATATAGGAATCTTTGGTACATTTAAATACATAACTATATATTAAATTCCAATTTATATCAAAATTTGTAAAAAATGAGTTCCATTTTTTCTTGACATGTTGGTACATCTTGATTTTTAACTAGAATATCATAAACATATTTCTTTTTTGATATTTTGTGTAATTAAAATAGGTTTTATATAACAACTCATAATAGGGTATTGAACATTAATAAAATCTTTACAAATAGAAATGTTAAGCTTTTGTGTATATAATAATATTGCTTTTTTCAAACTATGATATTGTAAAAAATTTACTTGTTTTTGTGTCACCTGCTCTAAGTAAGTTAAATCTACAAAATCGCCTTGGGGATTAATAATATCATTAACAAATCTGATTCCTTTTTCATAAAAAATTTTGATATAAAAGTATCTATTTCCTGCTAAACAAGTTATGATTGTAAAACAATGGCATTTGTAACACTTGTTCTAAACTGTCCTATACAAAGTTTATCTGTAAAAATCATATAAGCTTTTAAAACATCTATCCAAAAAGCATTTTTTAATTTTATCAATTGTCAATTTACAAAACAATTTACCTGTGCTAAACACTTTATCAATATTGAATAAAGCCATCACTAGCTTATAACATTTACTGTTACTATTACTAACATATCTTTTAAACCATTTTATCTTTACAGAATGTATATAACTATCAATATCAATCATATTTAGACCACCTTCCCTGATATGTTTTAATAACTACTGATTGCTTTATCTTTTGCTTTACCTTCCCATATAAATTTATAAAATAAGTCATTAAGTGTTTTCAAAAATGCTGAATTAGGTGTTGGTAAACTTGTAAAGCAATGAGTGAATAAAGGAAGGAGTAATGACTTAACAACAGTAATTTTTCCTATAGGTGTTAACATTCTTTTTTTCCAGTATCCTATACTATTTTTTAACTTTTTTGAAGTTTTTCATTAAAATTTAACTCTATCATTTTTTCTAAATCAACATCAAATATCAAACCTAACAATTTAAACTGTGTATCACCCCATGTCAGTTTCCATTTTGTCTTAATAGATCTTGTACTGTATTTAAGAGAGCCTATCCAAATAACTTTAGTTTTTATCAAAATTTACTTTCAATCCTGAAATTTCTGAAAACGTGTTTAATAACTTTAAAACAGTATTAAGGGAATTTTCTGATCCATCTAGCAAAAGTGAAGTATCATCAGCAAATTGTGTAATTTATAATTTCTTCCCCATCTATATTATACCTTTAACATCTTTACATTGTCTTATTTTTATTGCTAAAATCTCTGCACATAAAATGAAGATATAAGGTGAAATAGGATCGCCTTGTCTACAACCTCGTTTAACTTTAAAAAACTTTGATAAATATCCATTTAAAATAACACAAGTTTTCAGTATTATATAAAAATAAAGATATCCATTTTTTAAACATAGGACCAAATTGAAAAAGTTCTAGACATTTCTCTATAAATGTAAATGATAACGTATCAAATGCTTTTTTCAAAAATCTATCATCATTACTAAAACCTGGTATATCATTATCCTCAGTATATTTCATAATATCATACAATAATCGAGTGTTCTCACCAATATATCTATTTTTAACAAATCCTGTCTGATCCTTTGAAACTAAAAATATCTAAAACAAGTTTAAGTCTATTTGCTATGGAACCTGAAGCTAATTTATAAACTACATTTAATAAAGTTATTGGTCTCCAATTTTTTAAAAATTGTTTTTGGTTTTTTTTCTTTTGGAATGCATGTTATTGTTCCTAGCTTTTGATTTCTAGAAAAAGAATTAACAGTATAAGCAAAGTTTATAGCTTTTACAACAAAATGTCCAATTCTATTCCAAAATATTTTTAAAAAAATTTGCTGTAAATCTGTCACAACCTGGGCTTTTATCATTTTTTCATGTTTTTTAATGTAAAAGAAACTTCATCATATGAAAGTAGACCTTCAAGATTCAATGCTTCATTTTGAGACAACTCGATAACATTACAATTTTCTAATTCCATATCAATCTTAGATTCTTCAGTTATATCAAATTTTTATATAAATTTTTCATAATAACTACATGTCTTTGTAAGAATATCTTTTGATCATATATAAAGGATCCATCATCAAGTTCTAGAAAAGGAATAATTTTATCTGAACAATGTGTTTTTTCTAAGTTTAAAAAATAACTAGTAGGCTTTTCTCCAGATTCAATCCATTGTGACCTTGACCTTATCATAGCACCTCTTATTTTTCTATTTCTTAATTCAGTCAATTCATTCTGTAAGTGTAAAAGTTTGTTGTCTTTATTTTCAATTGTCAGGTTTTTGCTCTATAAGATTAATTTCTTCAATTAACTTTTTTTCATAAGTATTTCTTTCTTTGACCTTATAAGAGCTGTAAGATATAGTTTTACCTCTTATTTCCATCAAAAGAGTTTCTAAAAAAAGTTCATCATTTATAACAAAAATTTACATCTTTGTTTTTTGGATCTAAAACATAGTCTATATTGTATACTGGTAAACAATATTGTAATTTTACTTCATCTATTTTTTTATTTATAATATCAAGGAATTCAATGTCATATAACAGAGCATTATTAAAATTTCCATAAACCTTTTCCATGACTTACAGAACTAAAACAAAAATCTAAATATATTATTGAATGGTCAGATTTATAACTAATGTCAATATCACATTTTCATACATACTGATATAAACTATTTGATATAAGAAAAAAATCTAGTCTACCTTGTTGTATAGGGTTGGTTCGTCTCCATGTATATTTTTCATATTACCATGCAGTTCTCTAAGGGGATCAATGAGGTCTTTTCTTCAATAATACTTATTAAAAAAATTTCTTGCCTTTACATTATTGTTTTTTGATTTATAGTTATAATAATCTAAGTCAGGATTTTGAACAAGGTTGTAATCTCCACAAATAATTAGAGAGTCATTATCATCAAACGAATCTAAAGTATCAAAAATGTTTTTAAAGAAACTAGGACTGTCTATGTTTGGCGCATAAATATTAACTAATGTGAAATTTATAGAATCAAGCATTATTTGTAAAATTATGAAATTTCCTGAATCATCAGTTTTAACAGAATTAATTTTTATATCTAAACCTTTTCTGCATAAAATAGCCACACCTTTGGCATTAGACCTACCATGGCTGTAAAAACATAAACCATTCCATTCAGAATAAATTTTCTTTTCAATTTCTTTTATAAAATGTGTTTCCTGTAGGCAGAGAATATCAGCTTTTTTGACTGAAATAAATCTAAAACATCTTTTCTCTTGATACTATCGTGTAAACCTCGACAATTGTAAAGAGAAAATATTAAGACTACTCATAACTAATATTTACAATAATACATTCAACACTATATCTACAATATACATAGCTACACTTAAGTAAAGTAAATACAATATGTACATGGACCCAGAGAAACACTTCTAAATAACATATTGACCTCAAAAATATAAAAAAATGTGCTTGTATATAAAGAAAGAAATACATTTTGCCAATAAACAAGTAAAATTTACTTATGGAAGAAAAATTTTTTTGTAGAAGATGCATAATATGTTTATGTTTCATCTAATTATATCAAAAATTGAAACATTCTTTTTCATTGTTATTTCTAAATGAATAACACATTCAATGAATGAAAATTATAAATTAGAGGATATCAAAGATTTTCTCATAAACGTGTGATTCATTCTCTTAGAGATGTATAAAACAAACAATTTTCACTTGTTGTGGTATTCACAAGTAAACAAATGAAAAACAGAAACAAATATTTTATTCATAAACAATGTAACAAACTGAATTTTCTGTAAATTATATAGAACAGAAAATATGTTTTAATTAGACTTTGTTATGCAAATAGATAAATAAAACAATTATAACATCATGTGATCATGGTAACATAAAGTGTAATATGAAACTTAGAGTAAATAATAGACAAAAAATAATGTTATAAGTAATAAGTCAATATTTCTCTATCATAGCAGTAATAGAATTACTACTGGCAACCTCACAGGATATTGTATACCATATTTTACCCAACGAGTCTAACCATCCCACTGAAAGTAAAACTCCCTCCCGATAAAGGCGAGGGATAGATGTTTAACCAGCAGCAAAACTAAATACTTACTGGACAGGTTTTTTTTGTAGATAGAGAAATTGGAATTCTTTACAGTATGATGACATTAAAGTGATACATGAATACACACAAATATCATATGATAATGAATCAAATAAAATTTCTATTTAGAAAAGATGAAAATAAAAGTAAGTGTTTATTTCATCCAATATTTCACTCACAAGTTTTATGAATATATAATTACCAGTTCAAAATAACAAGTACTTTATTTAAGATATAGACCATTTATTTAATAAATATACCTATTGCCAGATCAAAATAACATTATTGTATTTAAAAAAAATAGAAATTTTTTTTACGTATAACGTATATTATACAAGAATTTATAAATTGTCAAGGTTCTTCAATCCACAAATCTATTTTAAGCATTACTTGGCAAATAGGATTTATCATTTATAGCATGAAATGGCCTTATATGATAATACAATTTTTCCAATATTCTATAAATAACTAAATATTTACATGTATATAGGTATAGCATGTTATTAAGAATTAACTAAACACCTGCTTAGAAAATCACTTAGTTAAGAATAAATATATTAAAAAGCTACTTAAATGTAGCCATTTTTGCTTATATCAACATAAGAATTTATTGAAAAATAATCTAGAAATATGTACTTTTTAACTTTTTAATTAATTGTCTTTAATTGCTGGACACATTAATTTTTTGAAAACAACTGAAAAAAAAAGAAATCATTATATTTTGAGTCTATAATTACATATATATTTCATCTGTTTCTCTTCATCCTGTCTATGATACATTTATCTTGTAGATGTTGTCTTTACATGGGTCTTCTTTTCTCTGAAAAGTTTTTATCACTTCATTAATATTGTCATACAAGTCAAATTTTTTATTCTTTCATCCATTTCAGTTAGTCCATAGACAGATCCATTAAAGAACCATGCACTTTTATTGTAGGGGTGCAACAGTAAACGGTTTATTAAACCAGAGTTTAATGTTGTTACATCATCTACCAACTTGTGTCCAGCGTCTTTCATGGTTTTCCTTTTCCTCATTATTTTGGACTTGGCATCATTGTTTGATTGTGTTTATTAAGACAGGTCTTATTTTGTGATTCCTTGAAGGTAGTCTGTGGATAGCTGCTATTTCTTCTTTCTCGAGTTTGACATCTTTTTGTTGCAGAAGGTTTATTACTTTATCTGTCAATATTTGGATATTTTCATTTCTATCTTCAGCTATGTCCATTATTTTTATGTTATTTTTTCTGGAGTACTGTTCATTATGATTTGCTTTTTTGTTGGCATCTTTGACAGCTTTTTCATTTGAGATTATTCTTTCTTCTATTGTGCTTAGCCTTTTTCCGGTCTCTGTCTTTGTTTTTGTCAGACTTTCCTTCAACATGATTATTTTCAAACTCAAGTGAACTTATTTTGTCATTTAAACTCTTTAGTTTTTTCTTGAATCTCTTTTTTATAATGATTTCCATTTTTTGCTGTAATTGGGTCATGGCATTTGTGATTGATCTTGAAATTATTGATTCTATGTCTTCTTTTTTTATGATACCTTTTTAAGTCTCCTTTAAGCTCTTCAAGATTTTCTGACATTAATCTAGCTGATTTTGTATTAATGACATATTCATCGCTGTCATTACTTAATGTGCTGTCATTACTTACTTCTGAAATTGCTCTTTTTAGCTGGAGGTTGTTTTTCCCTGTGTTCCCCTTCATTGATGTTTTAAATTTTTGTACCAGTAGTGTTGTCCTTTGACCCTTGTCCTGATCCTTGACCTTTTACTAGACATTTTATCAATTATTATACTTGCTGTCAAAGTTTACTGTTAAACAATTATTTAAAGTGTAGTATCTATTATTGTCCAATTGTATCTTAGAATTCCTTTGTATGTGATAAATTATAGTCCAGTTTTAATCCAGCTTAATCCATTATCCTTACAATCACAGGTAAAAAACCAGGTAAAATCAAGTCTTACACCATGTACATAATCCAAAAAGCAAATGATTTCAAACAATAGAAAAAATTTTCTTTATCAATATCTCCATAAATCTTTATTTATTTTTTCATTATATTCACCATCTAATGCACTATTTTTTAAATTTCCATTTGATATAAAAATTATTACTATAATATCACTAAAACAACATATTTTGCAGAAAAAACTTCAGAGCAAATTATCTGCACATTTTAAACTGAAAAGCCCTGAGGCAAAAAAAAACTTGGGACTTATTCTTATACAATTTTTAAGGTATATACATGAAACTTGGAGTTGTTAGACAAGGGGCATAAATCTGAAATCAATATTTTAACTTAGAATATTTATGAAAACATGTTATTAACAGATGAGCGTTAACACTTTGATGTGCTCTTGTTAATATTTTATCATTGTATGATTATAAATTCAGGTAAAGACCGGAGTTGATTCTGAGGCTATTCACAATGAGGTGGTTGGTCAAGCACACATGGAGAATTATGCTCTCAAAGTTTTCCTTTTTGCTGATAATGAAGACAGAGCAGGTAGATTTAACAAGTAAGTTCATTATAATTCCTGCACCAGATATATCAAAATTTGATAAAATAGTTATGTCCTAGGCCTGGAAAATGTGTATGTTCTTTTCAGTTCCTCTTTGTTAGCTCAATAGAATTGAAGGTTCGTGGTGAGTTATTAGTATCAAAGGGGGATGCTCAGTTGTCTGTCGTCATGTGTCAACAATCATCTTCTTCTCTGAAACTCCTGGGCAGATCTACTTCAAATTTGGTCTGCAGCATCCTTGTGACAGTCACACTTAAAGTTGCTCATGCCATTTCAATTGGCCACTTTTAGGGGTCAACAGAGCTAAAAATAGAAAAAGCTTTAAACATCTTCTACTACTAAATTTAAAGATGGATGATCACCAAAATTTGTCTATAGCATTCCTAGGTAGTCTTTTATCAAGTTTGCTCATATTAATTTGATTGGCTCCTTTTAAGGGCCGCTAAAGCTAAAAATAGAAAAACCTTTAAATGTCTGCTTCTACAGAACTAATTGATGGATGATCACCAAACTCTCTCTGTAGCCTTCTTAGGTAGTCTTTTATCTTTTACTGAAAAGCAATTGTTTCTGATGGTCAACTCAGGGCCATCATGGCCCTCTTGTTTTGTTTGATATTTGTACCTTGACTGTTAGAAGAAAAGTGGGACATTCCTACCTACCCATGTATCAACGTCATTGTCATCGTGACGTCTGTGTAACACTTATTTTAATTTCTTGTACAAAATCATATATATCATTAACTACTAAAGATATTTGCTTGTAACTTCACACATGGCTTTGAGATTAAAATAGGAAGTTTCTATCCAAGGGCCTAAACCTCACCATGGATTTTGACAAAAAGTAACTATTTTTTAATGAGAAATTTTGGGTTAAAGTTTTGCATGTGGCATCAATCTTTAAAACTTCTGAAGGTACATGTATTTACTTTAAAATTCATCCTGTCATGAGGATTATAATAGGAGGTCACTAAACATGACTTAGGGATCATTACTTGTTGTCGCTTACAATCCTAGGCCCCTAACTTTGGCATAGAATTTTACTTTGTGATTTTAGAAAATTACAGCAACATAATGCAACATAAATCTTTGATAATACTGAAATAATTCACTTTAAACTGAATACATGTTTTGAAGATCATAAAAGGAGATCACAGTTCAAGGCCAATAAAAGTCTGACATGGATTTTACAGGAATTATGGCACTTTGTACTTTGAATATTCTTGGATTCAGTTTTGTGTGCAACATTAAATTTTAACTGAAACTACTAATGGTTTTCACTTGAAACTTAGTCCAGGCTTCAGAGATATGATTGATGGTCACTCTCCAAGAACCATATCTCATATGGTGTCTGGCATGGATTTTGGATGAAAAATTGCTGTTTATAAATTCCATTCTTAATATCAAAGATTCATAACTTTTATTGTCTAGTAGTATCAAGGGGGTTAATCCATGCGCGCGCATCCTTAAAGTTCTGATACCGCGAACACTTCATCGGCGGATATTTCGAGGAAAAACGAGTGGTGTGAAGAAATCAGAAAAGGTATGAATTTAATTTGTTTTGCAAAAAAGATGTCCTAACTTCTAGTTTTTATATACAAAATGTCTTGAAGTAACTCTTTCCTGTTTTGCCAGTATTTCGCGTTGAATGCGATTTTGATTCTGGATAGTGCGTACACCCGGCGTTGAAATGTTACAGAAAATGAGCAAATATCGGTTAAACTGGCCGTTTAAAACGGCTGGAAGTTGTTTTGATGTAGAATCCTTTTCAAAAATATATTTTCAACCTTCGTTCCAATTCATTTTTACTAAAAATGTATTTAAACGCACTATTTACAGAAAACAGAGATAATGATATTGCGTACACTCAAAAAATATCCAGATACTGCGTACACATAACTATGCAATTGATAGAAAGAAGCAGTCTTAGGTTTATAAAACGATAAAGGGGATTGCATCGGTGTCCCGTTTTAATCTAATTCCTAGAAAAATATTTAGAATAACATTTATTTATGCAATTTATTTAGGTATTTATGTAAAACCTGGTGAATAATTGTCTATCTTGATAATGTTTTTATACTCTACATTTTAAAATAAATTACTTCTTTTTACAGTCAAATGTATATCTTATTTCAGAAAATGAATGTGTGTCGATTTTGTGGTGAATTCTTTGACAGTTAATCTTTTCTCAGACAGCATGAGGCAGACATCGGCAAGATGGCTTTTCGGAGTACCAAACACACATGCAGTACGAATGTAAATGCGACAAATCGTTCAAGACATCTCATGATTGAACAAAGAAAGAGCCAAACAAAGGAATTCAAATGTGATGAATGTGGCTTGGCCTTCTCTAATAATAAAGATCTTAAGTATAAATTCAGGTATATATGCAATATTTACAGACACTCCAAAATGCACGAAGGGTGAACATTGTGGGAAAAATTTCCAAGCAAAGCAGCTATTTCGTCCCATCTCTCATATGCAAGTAAAGATCCTCTCAAGTGCAGTATTTATAATCAAAGAACAGAAGGCTTTGAATTTGTTTGGGTCTCAGAATGTCAGAAAGGTGAAGGTTGTATGATTATAAACCAATTTGTTTTTGTATAGTGCAACCAATGCTTTCCAGTGTTTTAATTGTAGTAAATTGGCATACGACTAATTGCAACACTGATATTCATTTCAATGTTTATTTGACTTAAACAATTTAAAAAAATGAGTTGACCTTAACTGGGATTTGAAGTTGCATGTAAACGGCCTGAAGAAAACCATACTATTCTAAATGAGGGTTTCTTACTCTTATTATTTCGACGCTAAATCTGTTGTTTAACACAGATGTAAATAATCATGGAGCTTACTATAAGCATGTATATCTATTATTAAAGAATAAAACAACATTAGAAATCTTCGACCATTCGGGAACTATTTTGCTTGAAAATTAATGCGCCTGTCATTTGACAATCTTTACGCAGTGATCTCCCCTGAATTTTTTGGCGTTAGTGTAAATATAAAGGGAAGTAACCGCTTAAAAAAACGGACTACTTTCGGCATTTGCAATTAACAGCATCAAAATTCGAAATTCGCTACCAGTATTTGTTTGGTCTAAAAAACTATTCAGTCATACCAAAACTGTTAGGAACACATGAAAAGAAAACACAGTTAAAACTTCGTGGAACATGAACGCATTCCAAAGAAATAACTTGCTGCAAGCGTTTTTAGTTCAAGTTACAAATATATGCTATTTTCTTGTGCAATTTTATTTACCATGTTTTTTGCCCATGGAGTGTCTGTAAAGATTGCATTTATACCCGAATGCTTTGCCTACCATTCCACATTCATGACGTTTTCTCTTCTTGTGCTTATCTTTGTGATCACTAATATCTTTATTATTAGAGAAGGCCAAGCCACATTCATCACATTTGAATTCCTTTGTTTGGCTCTTTCTTTGTTCAAGGCGTTTTATATCATGAGATGTCTTGAACGATTTGTCACATTTACATTCGTACTTGCGTTTAGAGGAATGACGCTGCATGTGTGTTTTGTAATGGTACTCCGAAAAAGCCACTTGACTACATATATCACATTTGAAGGGACCATTTTGCCGATGTCGTGCCTCGTGCTGTCTGAGAGAAGGTTCACTGGCAAAGAATTCACACATTCATTTTCTGAAATAAGATATACATTTGACTGTAAGAAGTAATTTATTTTGAAATGTAGAGTATAAAAACATTATCAAGATACATAAATACCTAAACAAATTGCATAAATAAATGTTGATTCTAAATAATTTCTAGGATTTAGATTTTAAACAATTCTTCAAACAGGACACCCATGCAATCCGCTTTATCGTTTTATAAACCTTAGATTGCTTCGGATAAAATGTACTTTCTATCATTTGCATAGTTATGTGTACGCAGTATCTGGATATTTTTTGAGTGTACGCAATATCATTATCTCTGTTTTCTGTAAATAGTGCGTTTAAATACATTTTTAGTAAAAATGAATTGGAACGAAGGTTGAAAATATATTTTTGAAAAGGATTCTACAACAGAATAACTTCCAGCCGTTAAAAACAGCCAGTTTAATCGATATTTGCTCATTTTCTGTAACATTTCAACGCCGGGTGTACGCACTATCCAGAATCAAAATCACATTCAACGCGAAATACTGACAAAACAGGACAGAGTTACTTCAAGACATTTGGTATATAAAAACTAGAAGTTATGACATCTTCTTTGCAAAACAAATTAAATTCATACCTTTTCTGATTTCTTCACACCACTCGTTTTTCTTCGAAATATCCGCCGATGAAGTGTTAGCGGTATCAGAACTTTAAGGATGCGCGCGCATGGATTAACCCCCTTGAGTATACATGTAATTTTCCAAACAAAAATCTTCCTCTTTGTTTTTTTTTTTTTTGTTTTGTTTTTTGGACTTTAACCAGACTCTTTTTTTTTAATAATAGTCAAGCATGCTGTCCTACTCTAATAGTCAAGCATGCTGCCCTACTAACAGCTATTGATTTGCGGGAGTCATTGATGTTGATTGATACAATTATTTTCCATGTGATTAAGTAATCAGTTACTTACACAGAGAAGTACTTCTATTTCAGAAAACTTTAATCTAAATACTATAAACTACCTACTAGTTTCATAATTCATTTTACATTTTATTTTACAATCTAAGGATCAAGTCATTTATGTAAATGAATAATGAATCTCTTTATTTTTATACTTACAGGAATGTTGTAAAATCATTCTATACAGCAGGCATGTTGTTTGACACAATGTCTGTCTTTGGAGAATTAAATGAAGATGTATGTATAATTTAATAATAATTTTCTTATTTGACTGTTGGCTGCTTGTTTTCTTCTTCACTTTCAGTAAATTTAAAGGTTATTTGCCATCACTAAACATGGATAGTATTTCACTATTAATAACATACTCAGAAATAAGCCATTAAATTTTGTTATGATTTAAAAGGAATGATTTTTAGGTGATTGTCTACCATTAATGATATAGTGATTTTAATTCAATTGTTAAAAAAAAATCAAATAATATGATGTTGTGTTTACATTGTACCTATACATGTATATTAAAAAGGATGTATATAGAATCTACTTTGAATCTTGCTGTAAGCTCTGGTGAGTAATACCAGGCAATCATTGCCTACTTTCCTTTATATTTTGAAAGAAAATTTTTTTTTAAATTGATTGTACTTTGATATTTGTAGATTGACAAAAATAGGAAGTATGCCAAGTGGAAGGCAGCTTATATACATAAATGTTTAAAGAATGGAGAGACACCGATACCAGGCCCTCAAAATGAGGAAGGAGATGAAGGTATGTACAATAATATATATGCAGAAATATACAGATACCGTCTCATGCATTAGGGGTTTGTTTGTTTGTTTTTCTGTGTTTACACATATTTTTTCTTTTCTTTGTTTTTACGCCCACACCCATTTAACACATGTCATATCTCAGTGGTCAATCCATCGAACTGGCTCTCGATAAATAACCATTAATTACCAATTTCTTTGCAAGTGACTGACTACCTATCCGACATGATTTCTGTTTATGAATCAGCGGTGAGGGACAAAATACCATAATAAATTTATTACCATTAGACTGAATGTATGAGATCAGTTGTCACTGAGAAATTACGCCTTACCTGAGGTTCGAACCAGTTACCACTGGATTACTTATCTAATACACTACTTATTGAGTTCAGTGGTTAGATCCTTATTGTATTAAATTTCTATACTTGAGAATTGTGGATTCCAAATCTAAGTTCTCTAAACCGAATATTGTTTACAGTCATTGAGTTTTAGTTGTTTGTCAGATTCAATAAAAAATGTCAGCAGTGTTCACCAAATAACTTGTGTGTTGACTCCAAATCTTAATGTTTAGTGTTACAGTCCGACCCCGGTTATTCAACAACCCTTTAGTCAAATACCCGGCATTATTTCGAAGTAGATCGGCAGTCCCGTTTTTATCTCTTTATAAATCAGTATAAATACAAGCGTTTTCTTCGAAATGCATTATCCGAATACCTCCTATTTTTCGAAGTAAAATTTTGTTCCCGATTATACAATTATGAAAGAATTTCACACCTATTATTCGAAGCCAGACTAATAATTATTCGAAGCCAGACAAATTAGTGCAGATCCACTTGCTGACCGGTCGACTTGTGAAAAAATATCAACAGTCATGCGTGTATTTAGACAATCATGATAATTATGCTTTGTGTGTTCTTTAATCAACTTTAATTAAAGAAAATGAAACGCTATCCACCGTGTCCGATGTTGTTACTGTTATTGCTTGAAGATGACAGCAATAATTTTCATACATACCATACATGTATATGTGAAATTGTCAAAACATCCAAAACATTTTTTTCAGTAATTGTAACGCTACATGAGAGCCTAGTCGAAAATACCAGAGTTTAGCTGTAAATACCGTAGTGAAAACACGGCCATTATCAAGGCTTTGCATGAACGAAACCATACAAATGTAAATTTAATGCAAGTATTTATGTCTTCAATGCCAATAAAATAATTTTTACGCATCTTTCCTTTAATATTTATTTTTCTCATTTGATTGCAGGAAGTAAGTTTTGTAAACGGTAGTTTTGCTATGATTGGCCAAAGTGGAGTAGTTTTCATCTATCACAATATTCCGATTTCGATTATTCGAACCTATCGATTATAAGAAGTAAATTTTCAGTCCCATACACTTCGAATAAACAGGGTTGGACTGTATTTTTTATATTGTTCAAGCCTTAGCCTAGAAATTTAGATGACAATTGAGAGTTGTGTTTGTGAAAAATCTGTTCACATTTTATATCCTTTAAAGTTACATTAAATAAATATGTAAAAATATTTTTCCGTCGGCCTAAAAAATCAAACATTCAACAGTTTCATTAACCTGTTTAAAAGTTTTGTTGTAAAACTCATCAAATATTGTTCATAAATTAGGATTTCAAACGGGAAACCCCACGGTAACACTAAAGTTCGTATACGAATTTTAACATGCAAATGAAGACTATAATGAGCTCGTGTATGCGCTACGTCACAGTTTTATAGTTGCTATCCGGAACACAGCAAATGTGATATTTTCTTGTGCAAACACACTTTAACCGTTTAAGCTTCACGGTGCACTAAACCTGTGGTTCAGTAAAAGTAATCATCTCGTAAAAAGATTAAATTTGTATGAAAACATCCGTTACAATGCGGAAATATACCGTTAAATTAGGACTGCCACTTATAGTCATGTTTGTTGATATAATATTGATGTACGGATGATCCGAAGGCGGAGTTTCTCATGCAAACAGAAATTGTACTTCCCATTTCGCCACAATGAGGTTACCTATTTTTATGCTAATAAAACTCATTTTGGTTGTTTGGACACCAAAATAAGACCTGGAGTCGATATAAAACCCAATTTATTAATGAAATGTCGCTATTTAGTTTTTTATGAAATTTATTAAATGTAACTTTAACTTTGTCTGTTGACCTGTTTTTGAATTTTTTAGTTATTATGCTCAAATTTGACCTGTAGCATCAATTTTGTGTGTGTCATTGAACTTTGACCTTTAGCAATGATAATAATCATGAGGTTGCATACTCCTTTATTTTCAAATTTTGTCACTTGTGCACTTTAATGCTTGAAACATAACTTTTGCATTGGATGATCACATATGGCTCAGTGACTTTATTCTACATAGACATTGATGACTTGTTCTATGACTACAGTATTTTTAGATGCCGAAACATTTTGGCATATAATGTTACGCCCAAGGGTCACTTGATTGATATATAGGAAAACACATCTCAGTCTTATTGTGTAAAATTACAAAGCCTAGAGCTTAGATATTCATTGGCATGTAGCATCATTTTGTAGATTTCTACAATACATTGTAGTTATAGTTATCATGACCCTAAATTCAAAATTTGCTCTGCCCAGGGAGTCACTTGTCATCATGAAGACTAAGATTTAGGAAAACACATCTTTTTGTGGATAATTACTATGCCTCTGTATTTGGCATGTAGCATTGCCAAGTTGACCTCAATAAAAGTTTTATGAATTGTGCACTTAGGGTAAAAAACGCCTCTTCCTGGGAGGCCATATAGTATCATAAGAATACTTAAGATAAAACTTGATAGATGAAAGATTAATTTTGATTACTCAAACAAATTTACATTCGCCTTGACAGCCCTCTTGTTTCAAAGGTTCTGGTGTTATTAAAATAATACATAAAATCCATTGAAACAATTATTTGTGAATTGATTTCAACCAAAAAAATAGTCATAAATTATAATTATATTATTTAAGCTGGTGGAGTACAACCTGGAGGTGCAATAGGATTTGAACAACCTGGACCTTCTCAAGGTTATGCCCCTCCTCCAGACCCGTCATCATACCAACCTGGCCCGACAACATCCTACCAACCTGGGCCATCGGCATCAAATTCTCTGAATCTGCCTGGAAATAACACATCACCTAACGGTGCACCTACTGGGACTCACGCACCACCCTCTACGCCACAGGATCCCCAGAATGCAACAAGACCAGCACCACAACAAGCATCGTTTAACACTGACTGGAAACCACCAACAAACTCAAGTTTGTATTATTATTTTTTTTTGTATATCAAAAAATTTAATTATACATGTTTATAGGATTTTTTTTAACCTTTTGACCCCAACACTGTAGGTCTGTTTGATAGCAAGTTTACAGTTTATAATTGTAATAGAAACAATATATGAGCCGTGTCATGACAAAACCAACATAATGGGTTTGCGACCAGCATGGATCCAGGCCTGTCTGATCAGGATCCATGCTGGTCGCTATCAGTTTCTCTACTTGTTATAGGATTTGTAAGCGAACAGTATGGATCCTGATCACACTGCGCAGATGCGCAGGCTGGGTGGATCCATGCTAGTCGCAAACCCATTACGTTGGTTTTTTCATGACGCCGCTCATATATATAGATAGAGAGATGTTTAACGCAAGTTTGTTAATTAAGGGCATAACCTATGCAAAGCAGTGAACTATTCATTTATGTATTGATATTTTACTGATTTGTATTACTTAGATACAAATATGTTCTCCAAATACATTACATTCGCCTTTATTGAAGCAAAGAAAAATGTGTTCAAGGAATGTCCCTGGCTGAGTGGTTAAGGTTGTTGACTTTAAACCCCTTGCATATCACCTCTGTAAGTTGGAATCATGCCAAAGTCTATGGGTTCTTTCATATGAGGAGCTGTCCAACGTTAGTGGTTCTACTTGGGCGCTGTTTGGTCCACCAGTAAAGCTGGAAAGTTGCCATATCACTTACACTGTGTTTTTGCAATGTAAAACCCAACCAAAAAAACAAATGATATAAATGTGTTAGAAAATATACAACTCTTCTTACTAGATTGTAATCAAACAAGCCAGATACATAGCACTATTTCCACTTTTTAAAGATTTAAGTGCTTTGGAGTTTTTGCTAAAAGTAGCCTGTATTTTTGAATTCTCAATTTGGGTTGACAAGTGGTATTTAACATTTATTACATGCTTTTATTACATGGTTTATAAAAATTTTATCAGTGAAATAAAAAAAAAACTGATACTTCACTGTTTGAAGCAGTGAAATCATGTTTTTTCAGTGAAATACCAGCGTGCACAGTACTGGAAACCAACCTAATGATGTGACGTCATAAATGACGTCGCATTATATTGTTATTTGGCAAGCTTTTCATATAGTATTAAAATTTAAACATTTCTTTGCATGTAATAAAAAGAAAATTTGTTTATTTTAGTGTAACACCAAAAGTTCATATTTTACTCGTGACTGTGCCACAGTCACTCCTGAAATATACCATTTGGTGCTCACTGGGTGAAATATATTCCGATCTTACACTGAATTAAATAAATACCCTCAAATTAATATAATTTTAAATTTTAAAACCCAAATTTTAACAAAAATTAAAAAACGTTTTTTCATTACAAGAATTGTACAATGTTTGTAACACCAAAATTATTTACTGTAAAAAGGGGGTATTGATTTTTTCCGGGTGGAGTATTATAGATGCACAAAGAAACAAAAGGCTATGAAATTTTGTAAAATTGCAAGTAGTGACTACAAAAATAAAGTTTCAAGTACGCCCAAGACATCTTACCAAGGTTTTAAAAGCTTTTAACAACCGGAAAAGATAGTTTAAAAATTGTGATATATATCATGTTTGTTATTTTTGTGTTTTTGAAGCTTTTTTTTAATGCACTATATTTTCTGAAAAACACCCCTGTTAAACAATGTATTTTTTGGGCCGGGGTAGTCAAATTTGTCTTTTGTATGTCAAAATTTTGGGGAATTTTTGGAAATTGTAATTTTTAAATAAAATTTTTTGAAATTTGAAAATTTTTATTAGGGGGTCGGGTTTTTATCTTCTTGTTTTAAACCATTTCATTAAATCTGAAAAATGTTTTTTCCCATTTTGTTTAATGATATTTGAAAAAACATAGTTTATTTTTTTTAATTTTGTACAAAGTAAAGAGTTTTTTTGCCTTGTTGGGTGTATTACAGTGTTTTAAAGTACCCTTCATTGGGTATTTATTTTTTTAAAATTGTTTTTCCTTTTTGGGTAAAGGAATCAAAAAAGTCTTTTTCAAATTCTAGTTTTTTGTTTTTGGTTTTGTTAAACCCCCTAGGTTTTTCCCGGGGGACTTTTTTTTTAAACCTTCCGTCGCCCGTCCTTTCTGTCAGCCCCCTCAGTCCGTGGGCCCACAAAACGGGATCCCGCGATAACTTGAAAAGTACTGAAAATATTTTTATGAAACTTGGTATATGGATAGATGGCAGTATGGAGATTATGCACGTCTTTTTCTTTTCTTCCTATGTTGAAAATTCTGGTTGCTATGGCAACAAATATGCTGAATATATGGAAAATTTTACACATAAACTGGATCCAGTGATAACCCAAAAAGTACTGGAAATATTTTTATGAAACTTGACATATGGGTAGATGGCAGTCTTGAGATAATGCACGTCTTTTTCTTTTCTTCCTGTGTTGAAAATTCTAGTTGCTATGGCAACAAATATGCTGAAAATATGGAAAATTTTACACATAAACTGGATCCAGTGATAACGCAAAAAGTACTGGAAATATTTTTATGAAACTTGACATATGGGTAGATGGCAGTCTTGAGATAATGCACGTCTTTTTCTTTTCTTCCTATGTTGAAAATTCTGGTTGCTGTGGCAACACATAGACTGAAAATTTGGCAAATTTTACACATAAACTGAATCCAGTGATAACTCAAAAAGTACTGGAAATATTTTTATGAAGCTTGACATATGTCTTGAGATTATGAATGTCTTATCTGTTCTTCCTATTTTGATAAAATATCAGTTGCCTTGGCAACAAATAGGCTTAAAACATGGCAAATATAACAAGATTTGTGATTAGTAAAAAAGAGCTGAAAATTTTTATGAAATTGCATGTTTAATTCAAGAGTTATCTCCTCTTTAAGAATTTTGCTTTTAAAATTTTATATTTTGGTAACAGGGATTGATCAAATATTAACTTTAGAGTGTCCTCAGTCCGTCTGTCTGTCTGTCTGTTCATAAAACTGTTTCCTGTGATCACTTTTTCCAACAAATTTACTTAAAATAGAGAAAAATTGAAACATTAGTGAATGGCCGATGGCCCTTCAGAATGTTGATGGGGTTCTAACCGGTAGGGGACTTATGGATTGCTTGCAATACTATGATAATTGCTTGTTGATTTAAGTCTTTGAATTTATTTTGATGGAAACAAACATAATGTCATTGTGACAAGTTTATGTATAGGTATCTCAAAAATTAGTGTGATAAACTGTTTTAACAAAGAATTATTTGTAACCTGAAATATTTATTCATTATCTAGAGATGTTTTGTAGTATTTTTATGCCACCACTTCTTATTGAGTGGGACATATAGATTTGCCCTTGTGCATCCGTCTGTCAGACAAGCTGTGTATCTATATACTGACAAAACAGTGGAATGTATCGGGGCATTTGTGTCCTATAGATATATCTCATTCTCTATTTTGCATTTTGACAGACTGAAATGTTTGTAAGTACATTTAATTCTAATGACAGATAAACCTGTCAAGTGTTTTAGCATCCGTCAAATGTAACAATTGGGTAATATATTAATATTTATTCTAAATAAAAACATTCTTGGCATATCTTTAATTATATTTTATTTTATCATTATGTTTTATGTAACGTATATATGTAATTTTGATATTTTGATTTTGTAGTAAAGCATGTTATTTACAGACAGAGACAATTTTGTTTGCATTCTCATTGAACAGGCCAGCAATGGGGTTTTCTCTCTTTATTTGGAAGAGGCCTTGGGCTTTTCATATATTGAGAGCGAAAAAAGTCGCTAAACTTGCTAATTTTGGAAAATATTAACCTTTTATTTTATGCTTTTCAGTGGATTACTGATTTATCCGTGAAAATTATATTTGGTAATTTCACAGTGAAAATTATCAAAATATAAATTCACTCTTTTCAATGACGAAACTACTTCTTTAAGATTTTCCCCATGTGGTACCACAATTTTATTTTTGCTGACCATTCTCACAATGTCAGGGTGTTTAAAGAAAAAGCAAAGCTGAAATTGATAAATAACTTAAATGTAAAAAGTAATAAAAAGAAGAAAACTTACTTCTATTCAGTCAAATTCCAATCACCAAATTCTGTCTCTAAATTTTTTTGTTTCATTTTTAGTCTGAAAAATACATCCCATGCAAAACTGCTCTTGATGATATTTGGGCATATTAAAGTATCCTACGAGCAATAACTGCCGTATGCTTTATGAAAAATTGAAAAGCATTGACAGCCATCACTCAAAGAATAAGTAAAACAACCCAGCGTTGTTGAGCAAGCTTCCAAGTTTTCCATTTTCCTGAATGTTTTCACATCTGTCAACACTTAGTTTTTGTCTGTTACAATCCTCAAATAAGTTTTCTTTCTTTTAAAAAGGTGTATGACTAACAAATCCAAATTATATCCCTCTGAATCTTACACAATGATTATCTTCCCATGAAATACACAACTTTAAAAAATGGCTGCCGCTTACAATTTACAAAGCCAGGTCTAATATAAATTCGCAATAAGTAACAGAAATATGGATGGATGGTTGGACTTTTTCTCCTACAAGAATTGTGTGTTTTTATTATTAAAACAAGCGATCATTCATATTTTTTTAATAAAATGAATAAATATCACGTCATTTAACGTTGATTGGCGGACTTATTTTTCAGCTCAAGACTTCTTGTTTTGAATGAGAAATTCCGACTAAATGGGGCTCACAATGGGGGGAAACAGTTTTAATATTAACGTTAAAATTATGGAAATTTCGTTTTAACTTGTTTTTAAGTATAAAATAAAAAGAAAATTTGTCTGTTTGTTGTGTAAGATGTAATTTTGTTTCATCTCGTGAACTTTAAAAACAGTATTTTCACTTGTGGCTACGCCACTCGTGAGAATACTGTTTTTAAAGCCCACTCGATGAAATAAAATTTCATCTTACACACAAACAAACAAATATCCTCTATATGTCAGATAGGATTTTTTGAGTAATTTGCATGATTTTAAATAAAAAATCATTTGTCAAGAGGACCTCTTTTATAAAGGCCTCTG